TATTGTGCAAGACCATTCCGTATGATTACTCCAGCCTTCCACGACATCCTAAATGATTGTCTATTTTATAACATATTAATTTTAGCAGTGAGCTTATCACTGACTAGGTAACACTGTCAAAGGAGGCTGCCTTGCTAGTATGGCAATTGCATGTGAATACTGACATTGTAGATTAATTTCCCCCAAGTTGCTGAACCGTGTATTTATCTGTTTTAATTTGCTTTTCAATTCTTTTGCACATTTTACATAGTTACTGCTGTATGAATGTCTGGGTGCTCTGTTGCTGAGAACCTTGAACTAAGTAGTGAAGGAACTGGATTAATTCAAGATTCATGAAGACACCATCACAAAGGATATGTCACTTAATTTTGACATGTTACTGTCTATATGTATATATATATAAACCTATACATATATATACGTTTTTAGTATGATAATAAATGCACTGCAGTATATTTGATAAAGGTGCTTAGGTTGTACTGAGATCTCACTGTTATGGTCAGTATGTCATCTCTGGTGGGAAGCAAAAGATGGTTCCAGTCTTCTGTGAGAACTGTTAAGCTATGGAAACAGTCAGGTGGAACTTAGCCATTTGAAAGGTAGAAACAGGGCTCCACGTAATTTCTTTGCCCGTTTTGAAGAGATAACAATGAATATCATATGCGAGCCAATATAGAATGTGCTTCTATCAGACAGGAATTAAGTATGACAATTCCTGAAAAAAATGCAACCCAACTTCTTGCCCTTTAAGGTCAGAGCGCTGTCCAGAGTCCATGTCCTGTGGCCAGAGGACACAGTAACAGTAAAAGGAAGTTATTTTCTCCAAGACTGTCTTGGCTCTAGAGAAAGCAGGGAGAATGTTCCTTGTTAAATGAATCTAATATGGTTTACTCCCTCTAATGCACTTGCTCAAATAAGGGCCTCTTTATGCTCAGCAGGAGCACTTTAATGGAGAAGCATCTACTAAATGAAGCAACAACATGACACCCTCACCCTGGCAAATAGGGAAACGAATCAAGATGAATATCAATAGAAGAGAAAAGAAGGTGTAGGTATGGGAAAAGCACAGAGGGTGAAAATGCAAAATGGTCACAACCATAAAACCAGGATATGCAGGAATATATGACCATCCAGCCTGCTTTCTATTGCAAAGCATCTCCAGTAAGCGAGCACACAAGCAGTCATCAGTGAGCACTATGGTCCACCTAACGCTCTCATTGCAGTCCGTCCTCTTATGGATGGGAAGACTCTTGCAGCTCTAATCCTACATGTGCCTTTCAGTTATTTCAGTAAATACCCAGTAACATTAAGAGCCTCCTGTATCCTATGATGAGAACACTGCCAAGTTACAAGAAGCGTCAGCTCTTTTCTACTTCAGGAAAAGGAATGCAATATTCAGAATGAACAATGCTGAAAAGAATACAATACTCAGCAAAATAATAATAACTATAATTTCACCTCTCCGTCATGGAGGACACAAAACTGCAGTGTCCTTGCTCACTTGCTTTTCATCTGTGAGAGATGGATAAGGAACTAAAGAGGGAATAAAGGCAGAACTGCTACCTTCTGTAAGAGAACATAAACACATCTTTGCACTGCCTTGCCAGACCCATGGGCCCTTACTGGCAGTAGGCAAGGCAACTTCCAATGACTCCTGGGGGATTTCAGAGGTTGTGAGCAACTGTCAAAAAGCCCTGATGAAACTATGCTTTTCAGCTGTCACTACCAGAAATAGGGCTTTCCATTGAGTCATGGAGTCAGGGCAAGCCTCTGAGCTTTCTCTAGGTGAAACTCAGGGAGAGGTTTGGGGAAAGAACCACAGCATACAGACTGTCCCCAAATTTCTATAGGTTATGTCTGCAACCATAGGAACAAATTGTTGTTCCCTCCAAAACAGTTAATGCATTTACATTCTGTCTTGCAGCAGAAGTACAAATTTTGATTATTGAGCATTTTAACTGAGATTCTCTTCTGAAATGTGTAACACTGGGCCAATGAGCCTTTTAATTACTATCCATATCCTAGTTCTCTGAGAAGCCTGAGCTCAAATACACAACTGCCAAGCAAGACACTTGTAAATACCTTTATTATTTGTCTCCAAGGCTTGCATTCTGTTGTCATTATTTCACACCAAGGGTAAAATTAAATCTCTGTGGGACCACACCAAGGGCAGGGCATGCCATGCCAGTTGCTCATGATGCTCCCAGGTGGAGAGCAAGGGAAGTAATACTATGCACCTTCTGCTGATTATTAGCACTGAGATGGATGCCAGTCACAACAATGTATTTTCCACCAATTCATGTCTGAATAATTAATTTAATTAATTATATAATATATAGTGGGAAAATCTTCTTATGATTTTTATTTTCAGGATTTAAATGTATTTAAAAATTATTCTTTTATGATAACACTATATTATCACTGTTAATATTAATTATGATAATAATAGCATTATGTATACAAAGAAAGAGAAAAATGCCCTAATTTAAATGAAAGCTAGGACTTCATCTATAAGCATGAGGTGGGATGCTGGTTCCAGAATTCAACCATCTTTAGTATTCTGAAATAATGGACATTATTTTTACACTGTGCCATGGTATCCAGAATCAGCTGATGTGCAATTGAGCCTAGATCTTTTTGTTCTGTATTGCCAATACAAAGAAGTAGAGAGAAGAATTAAGCTTTGTAAAGGAAGAGATGGTTGTATTAGTCTAAGGACTGACTAACAGAAGAATCACAACAACTTTTGACTATCATGCTAATACATTGTGGTTCAGAAGAATCAGAAGCAGAAGAATGAGAGAATGGGATAAGCAGAATAAGGAGTCAACAAGGCAATGGGAAAGTTCCCCTTGTACTTCTGAACTGAGAACGTCTCCCCTGAAACTTCTCTTTCCCCAATAAATCCGAACTAATCTAAATTTAAATGAACTTCTACCTAGGCTACTTACAGTACCCTTATTATTCCATTCAACAAAACCATTGTGGTCATAAAAATAAGTGCTTCTCTTTTTGAGAATTACTGATGTTTTGAAATGCCTTTGATTCTGTATCAGGCAAAATTTTTTGAAAATTTTCTCAAAAATTTGACACAGTCTTGAGCAAGAAATTTCAAAAATAAAAATGTTGGTGTTTCCCAGCAAAACTAAGCAGCCAGATGCTCCTGAAGTATTTCCATTTGACTGGAAACTTAACACAAAGTGTTAATAATAAACAGATAATTAAAAAGAATATGAGACTGATACTCAATTTAGGTCACACATTCTACTGTATGCCTTTTGGTATTGTGCATCTTCTAAATGGGTTCTGAAATGAAGCAAAGACCTATAGAGGTCTGTTAAGAAAAATCTCAGCAGTGTCTGCTGCTGGAGGGCTAGAAGGTGGAAGGGAACATTATGCTTTTGGAGGGCAGCTTCCTGCAGACAGTGGCGCTTCCTTGAATATGTGGGAATGTAACATTCAGGGGATTCCCAGAGTGTTTCAAGCCCTGGGCAGTTTGGCATAGTGAGAGGTTGGCAGGGGCATGAGGAGTGGCTCAATGCAGATTCACTGGTCTCTAAATTGTTTCCATTATCACTTCCAGGAGGAATTCCTCCCCTGTGCAAAACTGCTGCATACTCAAGATTTGCACTGAGGAAAGATACATTTTACAGAGATTCACAGGACAAAAAACAAAAAACCAAATCTTCACACTAGATCAATAAAACATGTCTTAAAACAGGTAAAGCATTAAAATATACTATAGGGACCAAACACATATTGGGAAGAGAATGGATTATTTTACAGCCTAAACAACAGCAAGCAACAACAAAATGATTAATTAATACGCAAATCCTTCTGGAATTTCTCTAGGCAGACTCTTTCCATGGAAAGTGAAATGATGGGAGAAAGTAGTCATCAGTTGTTAAAAGAAAATCAAAGTCTGGAATACCACCAGTCAATGTCCTGTTAAGGTACTCAGAATGCTCTCCTTCTAGACATTAAATATTTTAACATTACTGTATCACAACAGAATTAATCCATCTAACAGTCTCTGACTCTGTCCTGGTTTCAGCTGTGATATAGTTAATTTTCTTCTTACTAGCTAGTACAGTGCTCTGTTTTGGATTTGAGAATGTTGACAACACACTGATGTTTTAGTTGTTGCCAAGTAGTGCTTACCCTGAGTCAATGACTTTCCAGTTTCCCATGCTCTGCCAGCCAGCAGGTGCACAAGACGCCATGAGGGATTGCGGCCAGAAAAACTGATCCAAACTGGCCAAACAAACATTCCATACCATACAACATCATGCTTGGTATATAAACTTGGGGCAGTTGGCTGGAAGCCACGGATCACTGCTCATGGATGAGCTGGCATTGGTGCTGAGCAATTGTACTGTGCACTTCTCTTTTTCCTTAGGTTTTATTCCTCTCTAATAATATAAATATTAAATACAATATTTATTAGAATTCTACTTTCTATCAATGATTAATCTTATCTCAACCTGTAAGTTTTACTTCTTTCTGATTCTCCCTCCCATCCCACCAGAGATGGGGAGTGAGCATGGGTCTGCATGGTAATTAGTTGCCAGCTGGGCAACGGCACACTGTCACATTGCATTGCCTATTCAGAAACATTACAGAAAATGTACAATTCCTGTGCATCTGCATAAAATACAGACAGCTCTTACTGAAATATTGTCAACCCAGGACAAAATGTTGCAACCATTTAAGAGAATGGAGACTTTTAAAAAAACCCCTTTGGTCTAGGCAAAGAATTTAGGAAAAATACTGTGTCTAACAGAAACTGGGTGCTCTAACAGGAGGGGGCAGCATGCTGCTTGGCATCAAACCCACAATGTAGCAGAGTCCTGTTCTCTGTTCCCATGAAAAAACGCCCTGGTCTTCAAGCTGCATCTTTTCCATAAATTGAATTTTGCCATGTGCTACAAGCTAAGAAGCAGGAGAGAAAATATCAAATCTTAATCTGACTTCACTACTTCTTTTCCTCTCTGCAGTTATCCAGCTGAACGTCACCATAGTACCTGGCTGGTCATCAAATGCACAAATTTCAGAATGCATAATTTTTGTCCCTGTTCGTGCCCAGCAGGAAGTTAGGGGATTTGCCTAAATGGGGTTTTCAGACCCCATTTAGCTTGTGGGGTGTGAATGATGCTGGAGAGGTCATCTGTAGGAGAGCAGGTAGGTGTATGGTGTGTTATTCTGTCCTTCAGGTCCCGCCTGCTGCAGCCATCTTCCCCTGGTTGCCGTGCAGCCTAGGAACCCCTACTGCTGCCACTGCAGCCTGGCCCTGCATACTAATTGGCACATTTAATGACTTTCTCTTGCTCTCCTTCCCTTCTCCTCCTAAGCTGCTGTCTGGGAGCAGGAGAGCCCGGCTGCCATGGAAACCATGCCTTCAAACACCCTGAACTTGCAGCACTAGCCTTGGGAGAGGATTCCAGTGGTGAAGCTCAAAGAACGGGATGCTGGAGGCGGTGTAAAGGTGGAGAAGTGGGAAGGTGTAAGGTTGACTGTGGCAGGAACATGTCTGGGCTGTTCAGCCAAGACACTGCACAAGGTGAATGTATACTGGGCATAAGAAATCAGACATTTACAGGAAAAAGAGGTTAACTCTCTGTTACCCATGTTTTTCTTCCAAATGTTTCAAGTGTCTTTCTGCCCCTCTCTCCCATCCACTTACTGTCTGGATCAAATACCCCTAATATATGCACATACCATGTCATCAAAGGGGTTTTGACAATCCCAAATATGACTCACACATCTCAAAAGACTGTTTGCAGCTAGAAAAAGTGCTGATTTCAGTGAGCAAAAGGTTTGAGGGGGCCTCAAGCACAAGCTGCCAGAAGACAAACTGCTGTCTAGGCAATAAGGCTATGATCCTGTGCCCAGCCTTTCAGTCCTACCTCCCTTTCCCAGACCAGCCACTGGACTGGAGTTGCATGAAAATGAAGCATTTGCGGCACTGCCTGTATGCACTGACGCCTTTTCTAGGCTGGCACCTAGTTCAACTCCAGCTCTGTGTCCAAAAGCATTCTGGTCCCTGCTTCAGGCTGTGTGACTGTGGGAATTGCACTTTTGTTCTCAGTTCTGTCTGTTGAGGATCACTGGCCATTTAATGAGGGTAAGATGAGTGTACACTTCAATCTGAGTTAGCACCCAAATTTTAGCCTTTGAAATACACTGTCACTTGCACCCAGTCTCCTCGTAAGCTTTCAGGCCAGCAATGGAGAATGTCCTTGCATCTCTTTTTCCTAAGCAAAACTCCCCATGCTATGATTTATTCATGAAGGGATCCCTCAGAAGGTCAATCAAACTGGCGTGCTCCCAAAAACAAACAAAACAGGGAAGAAGAAAACCTCACTGGGTCAGCACTTTTCTGAAGACTAAATGGAACTGTTTATATCCCAGGCAGACTCACTCATGCAACGGACATAACAAATGTTTCAGCTCTCCTTCTCTGTCGCAACCACTTAAACAACCAGCTTAATACTGAAAATTTACTTCAGATTAAAGTGGGAACTTGCTAACCCATGAAACATTGCAGGGTTTTGAAGGTGAAGCACTCCAGACACCCAACAAAGATACTACTTGGTATTCCTGTGAAAAAGGGGGATCTGCTGCAGCACAGGCTGGGGAGCACAGTGAGACAGGTCTTAGGCATAACAACAAAGGACAGCTCAACCGGCCTCCCACAAATATATTTCCTCTTTAGCTAAGACCAGCAAAAGGAGACTTAGGCTTGGATTTTTTATTTCAGGCACTAATGTTGTCTTGCACCTGATCTTGCCATTGACTTGAAAAGGAAAAGGACTGCCCCATTATAAATTTCAATACGCTAGGTCTGTCACACATGAGTTGCTACTACAGCACAAACTGGTACCTAAAAGTTGAAGAAGTGCAGGAGTGTTTCCAAGATATAAGAATGCCTAACCTAAAAGAGAAAACTGTTTTACAGGGTTTGCAGCATTTGTGTAAGCCACCCCTTTAATGCAACTTAAAAGTGATTTTATTTAATAGAAAATAAGGTTTGAAACAGAAATTATTATAGGATTACAGGAAGGAAAATATTTTTTCAGCAAATAGAGAAGCTGGTTAACATTACCAGGACCAAAGGGCATTCACCTGAATTTGAAGGTGTGCAGGTGGGACACTGCAGGTGTATGACCATCATTAAAAAGAGCAGCTATGTGAGAGAGCTGCTGATGCATGCACAAAACCAGTCTGTCTGTATTCTTCTGAGCAGAGTGGGAAACAAAACCATCTGTAGAAAGGGATCCCGCTCTACCAGCCCAGTGGAGGTCCACAGGATGAATGTGAACAAAGGCAATACAGCAGACAAAGCATATGTGGATTTTCAAAACATCTTTGATAAGGCTCTACATCAAAGATTATTAAAAAAAAAAAACAAAACAAAACTGCTGCAAAGGCCTTTTAATGGACTGAAGGTTAGTTAAAGGACAAGAAGCAGAAAAGAGGACAGGAGCACTTCAAGATGATTCTCAGGACAGAGAGGAAGCACTAGTGGAGTTCCCAGAGGTCAGTGTTAGGACAAGCTACATTCAACATCTTCAGTGGCTAGAAGATGGGAAGACATTGTCAATTAGTCCAAGTGACAGGGTGATACCAAGTTCTTGAAGAGGCTTTTTAAACTGAGAGAGCAGGCAGCAGATGAGCCTAATGCAGTTAGCTAAATGCATGATAAACAGATGTAATAACTAGTAACCTATGTTTACACCCTGCCCTGGCAGCCACAAATTGGGAAGGAGGTTTTGGAGCCGTCTCCAACACCAACAGCTCAGTGAGAAACACCCACTAGAAAAACCCGAGACATTGAGCATCACCAGAACAAGTACCAACGACATGGCACAGGGCATTATTCTGCTACATTATGAAGCCATGGACCCTTACTGGACTTTAGTGTGCAGTTGTGGTCTTCACAGCTTGAGGAGGACATAATGTAGCCAGAGAGGCACAGAATAGGAGAACTAAACTTAGGTTGAGGCTTACAAACTCATTAAAGTAATGGATAAATTGAGGTCAATCAGGAACAACTGCAGAATTGTTATTAACAAAGTCTGAAATATTGTAACAAAAGAATACTCAACAAAATTAGTAGGAACTAAATTCAGAACACATGAAAGCACTTTTTCACATAATGGGTACTAGAATTCTGGAACTTGCTGCCACAATTAGGAATGCAGACAGTACCAGCAGATGCAAACAAAGATAAGACAAATCCATGAACTGGTTCATGCACAGATAGTAACAGCAACTGTCAAGAATAAACCTAACATCCCACATCCTGACATTATAGATTCTGGCATAGCATAAGAAAATGCCCTCAAAAATGGCCAAAGACAGGGCAGATAGCTTACAAGCAAATGTGATTTACATTTAAGAACAGGCTCAGTCATTTCTTACGAAGGCCGGTGAGGCTTATGAATATGGAGCTGGCTTGGGCAAGTCAGCAGAGTATCTGCCTAGTCAGAGAAAATCATGGCAAAATGGAGAGACCCATGTATCTATGAGATGTCTAATTTTGAAGGTGGGCCCAGTTTGTACTTTGTTGCTTATTTTTATGTACCATGTGTATTTCACATCAGTGGGTTAAACTTTTCATTTGGAAGGGAAATAGAAAATTCCTCTTGCATGTTGAATTAAAACATAATGAAATGTTTGAAGATCTTTGGCATTTTACAAAAAGTCCTGCAAAGTTGGGCTTCTGAGCAGGCAACAACACTTATGTGTAGTGGATAAAGGCAGAAGCATTTGTGAATATAATTCATCACTGCAACTGCTCACATGCTTACAACTGTATCATTACTATATAAATATTTTTATATCACATATATGATGTATAAAGGTGGGTTTTTTTGCTCTGGAGTGAAAGCTTCCAGCACTAGTAGGAATCTAAATATGCATTATGGAAAACATTTTTAATTACAGGATATAATAATGTTTTTCCACAGAATCTTTTTTAAATACTGTACATTTGCTACATTGTGTTTAGCAAATGAGGGAGCTCTTAAATATCACTTCTTAATCTCACCACTTGGTGTGTATGTGGTCACCTGGCTAACTCTTTCCACATATAATTTTATGCAAACACAAAAGTTCCCTGCAACATATCAGAAATTACATTTGAACACGGAAAGTTCAAACTGCAGCACAGACACCTGGTTCCTCATTCACCAGATTGACTATGCTTTCCTGGAACTGCTGTACTAAAAGAATGTAGAACGGGTCAGCACTGGGACCTTTTTGCTGGCTTTCAGAGGAACACATGCTCTTCCTACTTGTGGAATACCCAGGAGGAGAATATGCTGCCTTGACAGGAACACAGTGGCAGAGCTGTAGCAGGAGGGAACACAGCTTCTCCACAGTTTCTCCAGATACTGTGGGAGCCAAGCCCTTTTTAGCAGTGTGCTGGAGTGGCTTGGGCAGTCATGCAAGCTCAGCCTTAAGCAATGCAGCGGAGGAGGCTACGGGAATCTTTTATGTCAGGAAGTGTTTAGCAACCTACTCCCATATATCCTCATCATAGAATGGTTACATTTTAATGGGACCTTAAAGATCACATAGTTCCAATTCCCTTGCCATAGGAAGGGACAACTTCCACTGGACCAGACTGCTCAAAGCCCCATCCAGTCTGGCCTTGAATATTTCCAGGGATGGGACATCCACAACTTCTCTGGGCAACCTGTTCCAGTGTCTCACCATCCACACAGTAAAGAATTTCTTCCTAATATCTAAATTAAACCTACCCTCTTTTAGTTTAAAGGCATTTCCCCTTGTCTTATCACTACCTGTCCTTGTAAAAAGTCCCTCTCCAGCTCTCTTGTAGCCCTTTTAGTTACATGACCCCAGAGCTGGACGCAGTACTCCACGTGGAGTTTAACAAAACTGGAAAAGAACAATAATACAGATTTAGTTATGCACACTTCCCCTCCTCTCCCAACACTTCCCTTTCCCTACCCCACTCTTTCATGTACATGAAAGAAACAATTTTAGCGTTAACACATCAAAAACTATTGAAACCAAATGAGTATCTGTGTCTTTTAATTTCAGGACCTTAATCTGTCATACTGGAAAATTTAAGATCAGGGTTTTTTTCTACAAAGAAAGTGCTGAGGTGAAAGACTGCAAATTGCAGTTTAAGAGTTGAACACCAGAAGAATCTTGGAAGGACAAGTAAACTCACTGTTTTGTTTGTGTTTCATGGGGGTGGGGGATTTGCTAATTTAGAGGGTAGTAATCTGGAAATAGCCACCTGGTAATAACTAATCTAACTCGCCTGTCCCCAGAAGTCTCCAGACTCCTTTCAAATTCTGAGTAGCTGCTCTTTAAAAGGCACAGAATCATCCCATATAATTAAAATTACAGTTGCAGAGTGATAGTCTCTGGGACTTCAACATGGAGCAAAATTTCTATAGGCACCCTGCAACTTGTGTTTCCTGCTATTCAAGGCTCCCAATGCTTGCAGTGAAGAGCAAGACCAAAAAAAATACGCCCAGACACCTGCTAGAAATCAAATAACTCATCTTGATGCTATTCAACAGGGTTCCAGCCTCAGCAATAGAAGAAAGAATGAACCATTAAGTGAATTTCAAGGCAACTTCTATTAGTTGCCTTCCTAAGAGAATATTTTTTTTTCTAGAAGTTGTGGAAGCTATTAGGAAGGTGGACTGAGAGAAAAATACCATTCTCCTTTTGAGAATAACAGGTTGTCGTGGTTTTGCTCACCAGCCAACCCCTGGGGCTGAGGATGGTTTTGTACAGGTGGATTTCTGGAGAAAAAGCCAATCAAAACTTTTAGTAATGCCTTTGCTAATTACATATTTAAGAAAAAAGGAAGTGAAGCTTGTTGCACAATTGAAATTAGGAGCAGTAGCCATGTAGGAGCGGCAGCAGGCCCCAAGGAGGGCCAGGGCCCCCTCCTGCCCTGGCCTTGGGCTGGGGGCAGGTGTGGCATAATGAAGTCTCGGCTCCCTCATGCATCAACTTACGCCAGTATAGGGTCCTCCACGAGCAACATGGGGGTCTCCTCACTCCAAAAAACTTCCACAGGTGGCAGGGGTTTATTTTTCAATCTTTTCCCTGCTGAAGGGAGACAGAGAGAGTGAGAGAGGAGGGAGAAGCAGCCCCCCCTTCGAACTTCTCTCCTCTCTCCTCCAGCTGCTAGCTTTGCCCTTGGATACTTCGTTATCTCTCTGCCGGAATTTCTTCTGCAGCGTTTCTTGTCCAAGTAGTCAGTAATTCCCTAATTTTTTTTTTTCTCTACTCCGTTATAGGAGAGAAGGGGGGCTTCAGTGCCACACCTGTCCCTGGCCCAAAGCCGGGGGAGGAGGGGGCCCTTGCCTTCCTTGAGGCCTGCTGCTGCTCCTGCATAGCTACCAATTTCATCTGCGCCACAAGCTTCTCTACCATTTTTCTTAAATATGTAATTAGCAAAGGCGTTACTAAAAGTTTTGATACATATAAGTTTATTACATCTTCTGGTGTTACATCCATTAGAAAAATTAGCCTTTATCCATTTCCCTATCTCCACTATGCAAGACTGGGGCAGACTGCCTGACAGAGTGTCCTGTTTGTCATATCAGTGTTGGGTTGCTGGACTTTATCATCATCTTGGGGATCTCGATCTCCAGAACTTGAACAGAATTTTGGAAATTGAATGCTCCAGAGTGCCTAAGGCTGTAATGGCTTTGTGCTCTCTGTGAAAGAAGTTTGGAGCATGGCACATAATATGCAATAATGAATGTGATTAATCTGCATTCATTAAAATGCCAGGGAGAACTCAGCATAATCCAGGGCTGAAGCCCCAGTGTTCCACTTTGCAGGTGAAGATGTAGCCTTTTGACCTAAGGTGAGCTTCTACCTTACTGAATCAGGGTCATAATAAATCTTGTCACTGACAGAAGCCATTCATGTTCTCAGATGGGAACAAGCTGAAAAGATAAGTTCAAACTGTCACTCATCAAAAAAAAAAAAAAAAAAAAAAAAAAAAAAAAAAAAAAAAAAAAAAAAAGAAAATGTGAAGAAAATAGAAAGGAGATACAGTTTGAGCAGAGGCAGATAGGCAGATCAGATCTTCTTACATGTTTTCTTCCTTTAAGATCTTCTTCTGATTTTAACTAATAACAAATGGAGGACATGGGGAAATAAGGTCAAAGCAATATTTCCTTCAGCTATTGTCAAACAGAAGCATCTGTAGAGCTGGAACCCAACCTGCCTGGAACATTGAGGGTTAAAGTCTAATTAAACCTAACCAAAGTCAAAGGTGGGAAGACTGCAGGAAGAATTAAAGAACAGGTTTTCCCTGTTCATAGAGAAGATACAGTCAGGCCTGATTTTCTGCTGAGTGTGTAGTTTTGTACACAGTGAGAGAAGAAGTTCCAAATAAGAGTTGCAGAACTCTTGGCAAGTATTTTCATAAATAAGAAATATTTATTTTCAAAACTTTTTCCATGACATGAAAATTCAGCCAGTGTGAAATGTCTTTCATAAATACTAGAAACTCTACTTTGAATATGCTGTGCCAACTAAAGATGGAGTAAACTGATCTAGACAAAATAAAATACCTATGCTTCAAACTGCTACTCTTACTGGTGCTCTGATAAACCAAATACTTCTGACACTATCAGGAGTTTTCGTTCTTTATACGCTTCAAGGTACCTGCTAAGAATTAGATGGGGTACACCAAGTCCTCTGGTCCTCTTGCATCCTACCACACAATTTATCTACATTAAATCATTCTCTTCATAAATTGGACATTACCACCTTAAAATGAGACAATTTTCTTCCCAATTCACAGGCTGTCGAAGGAACCCATTCCTCTGAGGGAAATCTTTTCAAGTCTCTTGCTTAAATTCTTTCATCCCTAATGTTTATTTTATCCTTTTGATGCACTCATATAACACAGTTCCTTTAGACTATCCTTCAACAACGATCTTAATCAGGAATGCCCTTTTACTGTCTTATGGTTTGGAGAAGTATTCTATCCACTCTGCAACCACGAAAAAAAAAAGCTTGTTTTTCAGCTGGATTGTTTAATTAACAAAGTTATTTCAGTGGTTACAGAAACACCTGTGCTGGTGCAGAAAAGTAGATGATGCAGGAATTAGCTGTCAAGACCAGCAGGAGAGCAGGACCTCTACTATAGACATCAGGGGTGGTTTATGCTACTTAAAGAGTTCACTGACCTCTCTGTCTCCAATCATAAAACAGGCTCTCATTGTACCTCACTCCTTGAGGATCTCTTCTCTATGCCTCTTCCAGGCTTACCTTGCACATGTTCTTAGTGCCATTGGCCACTTTGCCTATATCTTCGTATTTATCAGTATCCTTTCAAGACTTGATGTTAAAAATTAATTTTGCTTCCAGGCCAAACTAACTCTCCTTCCCACATCATTATGTCTGTAGTGGCAATACTTTCCTTCTCATACTCTTGACATTTGAACAGTCATGAAACTGTTAATATAAACTTTCCAAAGTCAGTATCAAATGCTTCTTGGCACTTTTCACTCTATCCCTTTTTGTCCATTAGTCTTTCTTTCTTCAGTGTTTTTGCTTACTTCCAGTGTCCTTTATGAGGTGAAAACACCAATGGTTTTGCAACCTATTGCTCCTCACTTTCTCCTGTGATTTAGGGATACAACTTCTATTTACTTTCTGCACCTTTATTTAAATAAAATCTGCATTTTCCCCATTCTTAAGCTGATCCTAACAACTAATTACCTCTATTTTTCAGAGTAGAAAGGCTGAAAAAGCAGCAGCAGAAGGTCAATATTAAAAGAGGTACTCCTAAAATTTTGAGTTCTCAATTATTTTAAAGACAGGAATTCTGAGAATCTCAGGCAGTTTTTAAATCCATCAATACCCCTGTGAACTATACTTACAATGGGAAGTTATTCAACTACAGGTGCAGACTAATTGCCTATTTATGTAATCCAAAGGCTAAACAGATCCAGAGCTATTCCTTTTTTGTTTTCTCTTTTTCCTATCTTTCATCTTAAAGAAATCTATTAAGATGTAAAATACTGCCAGATTAAAAGGAATAACTAAGGAAAGAAGCATTATTTACATTTTTTTTCTGATTGTGCCAATTAACATAATGCTGTTTTCCATATTCTTAATGACATAACTGAGTACATATAAACACAAGCTACCTTTAAGGCAGCTAGGTTGGACTTTATGAGTAGCACAAGCAAGTGTATGCCCTGAAAAGGAACATTCATCCTGCTTCTGAATAGCTTTGCAGTCTGCATCAAGCTCATGTCAGTTTTTGAGCTAGCAGTGTCTGCAGACAAGACATACCTTCCATCTCACAATCTCCAGTGAAGCTGTGTAAACCTCTCTGTGAAAGTCATTTGCATTTTCTAGTTTATGCCAATTTAGCTCTGCTTAAATCTGTACTTGAAGGGCTTTTAACTATGTGTAGTACAGCACAGCTTTCAGTTTTCTCCTTTCTATTTAGTGTTTTATTCTAAGTCAAGTTGATTGAGGTGGAAAACAAGGTTAATACTGAATATGTGGGCATATACAAACTCCAAAACCACTATTTAGTCTATTTCCACATTGAGATGGAAACATTTGTTGGTCAAAAACGTATGTTCTTCCAAACATGACTGGTGCAAAAAAACATAATTGTATGTGCCCATGCAGTCATGTAGAATTCTGCAAGATGGATTTTTAATTACTTTCAGCAGAAATCCCTTTGCAGAAAATGACAGTCTTGGGCCTATATATGTTAAACAATATATAAGCTCTATTTTGCAGATTCAAGTAGTATCTATTTGTTTTCTGCTGAGAGACGCATTCCACTCACTCTGCATTGGCATTGACCTTTACTGTAACACAGTTACGCTTTTCCCACACAAGTATTCAACATTAGATTCTTTTCTCTAAAAATGCTTGATATGGCATGAGAGACCAGTCTAAGAATATTTGAGGATACTCAAGGAGCATGGAAAAGTCACGCAATTGAAAACTTCAAAATTCCCTTTTCCATCCCTTTCAATCTAGAAGACGAGATGTGCTGCCAAAATTACAACATGAAATATTTAGCTCTATTTTGATCTCTCTTTTTTCTCTGTGTCTTGCTTTGCTAAAGATGATTTAAAACTCTGCTTTTTGAATCCAAAAAACAAACAGCTCATGCTTAGGACAGTCTGCCAAGAATGCAGGCCCTGCCCTTTGCTTAGCTCACAAGCAAGAAAAATCTCCTACACGGATAGTACCAGCCAGTATGCTGCACTAAATCTCACCATCAGAAAATAACACTGAGAGCATAATCAGCTGCAAAAGGACTGCATGCAGAGCAGTAATTTGCAAAGAGCCCAGCCTTTCAGTTAGCCTTTCAAAGCGACTTGGTGGTGACAGGCGTCTGGTAAATCAATCTGGAAAGAATCCATATTCTCCAGATAACATCACAATTTTACTTTGGGGGCCTGGGCTGAGGCAGTATGAGGAACATAGATGACAAAAACATTAGGACAAACGATTTGTAATCATCATGACTGTCATTCATTTGCCTCTTTCCCCCTTGCCCCCCCCTCCATAATATTTATACTGACTCTGAAATAATTGCAACCCTGGTGTGTTATCAAAGAATATCTGACAATATATTGAATTAACAGTTCTTTATCTTCTTAAAATTCTCCCAGAAAGAAAAAAAAAAAAGAAAAGAGAAAAAGAGAAAGAAAACAAGAGTAATTTCTTTCCTCAGATAAAATGTCTCCCCTTTCTGTGTACATCATTTAATTCAGATTTACAGAGACATAATCTTAAAGGTGATAAAATAATCTGAAGGACTTCCTTCACACATGCCTTGGAAGGGACTAGATGAAGTTATAAAATAATTCTTTAAGGGAAGCTCAGACTACATCACATTTTGCATATTAGTTGAACCCCCCACCAGCTTACATTTCCAGCAAAACATTGGTTTGCAACATGGTGTGGTATGCAAGGATTGGATCACGGCTGATGTGATTTTTTTTCCCCACTCCTTAGATTCAGCAATGAACACAGAAGTGAAACCAGACATAAAGCCATTACAAATTTGCAATTAATAAAGTAAAAATCCTGGTTCAGTGATATCAATGCCAGTTTGCTCATTGGTCTTGAAGATAGACAAGTCTAAATTATTTGAATATGTACCAGTGTCTTTCTGCCTTCTATAAAAATTGTATAGGCTACAAAACTAACTTATGTCATAATAATTTTCAACAGTAAAAGAAAAAAACCCCAGTACTTTATGCTTTACAGCATTGAAGTCTCAAGGTTCCTTTATCTCTAAATGGCTTTTAATCTGTTTTATTTTCATTATCTACTCCTTTATTACAAAGGATTATTAATTTTTGTAAATACATATCTGCAGCCTTATACACCATAGCTCTTCCTTACAGTTCTGGCTTCTAAACATGTGATTATGTGAATAATTGAAATTACATTCATTTTAAAATGTTCACTTCTAGAATTTGCAGTTATAGAGAAAATCTCGAACGCAGTTACATGGAACAGAGGACTAAAGACGGTTCGCTGATGCCCAAGTATCATGGGTGTATATAATTTAAACTTCTTCCACCTCTACCTTTGAAGCAGTTGGGTTTCTTTGCACTCCATTGCTTTCACTTACAAAATTCTCTCATACATTCTCAGTCATGCCAGTGCATACTTATTTGTTTCTGAGGCAGCAATGACCTTTTGCTTAAATAGTTCTTTAGCTTCTTTGTTATATACATCTTGCCCTGTTATATTTCTTGTTCACAACTCTTGCCATTAGCAACACGGCCCAGGAAAGCAAAGACACCTTATAGAATCTAGCAATTATTTGCTTGATAAAGTGTAAGAATTTAGTTAGCCAGTAGGGAAATGATTAAACTAAGGATTTATTTCAGTAATTAGAACTACCAATGTTGTAGCATTTCTTGTGTGGAAAAAAATGGCACTACATGTATTTTCCGGAATGTTGCAGGAAATAGTTTGGTCTGAACTTGCTACATCAGCTAGGATACAGATTCTTGAAAATCACTCATTAGTTGCTTCTCTGACCTGAGGGCCTGCCACACCACTGGTCTTCATGACTCAGCTCTGAATAGAGTGGTTTAGACAAACTCCTCAGAAGATTAATCCCGAAAAGCATTCTTATTTCCAGAGTTCCTCGTCACATAATACATAGAGGAATGTAGCGCTGTAAACAAAACCAAATTCAAACAGTCTTTCCTCAAAATTGTCACAAAGGCAAAAATGCCACAGCAAATTAAAAGCATGGTGATTACATGCCAAATCAAGAGTTAAAATACCAACTAAAAGCTTACTACATTGATCAGTGAAGACAGGAGATGTAACTTCAACTAAGTTCAAATGTTTTCATAAGTGTTAAAGTGCAGCTTACTTAGTCAGATTGTTAAACTTCTGACCAACATGCATACATGTTGGGAAATTGCTTGAAAACAGACAATATAACTTTTATATCTCTCTGGAGAACTCCACAAATATGATTAAATAAGGTAATAATTTTAAAACTTCAATGGGTCTGACTGCTCTCCATCCAAACATCCACTGCGGCAATATCAAGCCGTGGATGAAATGAAGTGGAAGAGAAGTAGTAACTGATTGTAAATCAAATTTAATGCAAGCTCATCAAATCCTCAAGGACTGGACAGCAGTGTTGCAAGGATACTTTTAAGGGGCAAATAAATAGTAACTTTTCAAAGCAAATTCAAAAGTAGGCTAGGTATTTTTCTCAAAAGCATTTCAGTATACTGGGAAGAATGAAGTTACTTCCCATTCATGTGGCTTTGCTTTTGCAGGTTTGTTTATCCACTTGAAGGAGACAGAAGCATTTGAGTCACCATGATCTTTTCTAACTCTTTTATACCTGTCCTTGGTATCAGATGAATATTACCTCATGCATCTTAAATAAGGCCTTCATCTCTTCCTAAAGTTAGGCCACATCAAGAAACTTAACAGATTTTATACGTGTTTTGGCTCTGTTTTATGTAAGACTGGATTAACGCAAAATCAAGTTATCTCTGAAGTCTAATTACAAAGTTCCTGAGACTTCAGGATGCAGTATCAGTTCATTTCTGGGGCCCTCACTTTTTGGAAGCTTGGAGAGCTGTTCCTGACAACTTGTCAAAAACTTTGTTACTGTTCATCATGTCTGGTATTGAAAAGAATTCACAAAAGCATATGTGTTACAGCTACATAGGTAATCTAAAGCATAGGTTCTTTGTCACCATGTTCTCTGTCACTGACACCAACAGCCTCAGATTGACCCAAGTCTTCCCTTTCCTTCCACTCTGTGCTGGAGTGGACACATGCTCCATCACACAGACAAAGGACTCAGAGGACAGTGAAGAGCTAAATGATCTTCAGGGGCTTTCCCATTTTCATCACCACCAGTAGCTCTTTGCTATGCCACAGATGAAACTACAGAGCCAGGTTTGTAGGTTCTGCTCTATTCCTAGCTGGTGCTATTCCTCTCATCTTCTTCATCCGTCCTGTTACACATAGCCCTTCAGAGTCCAATTGTCTAGTTCTTCCTTCCCGTGCTTCCTGAGTTCTGTGAGCCAAAAGAGTGCCATTGTTCTTCAGGCCCAGGGTAAAAAATGCATATTTAGGAAAACTGCCTAGCAACTGCCTTCCTAGTGCAAGGAGAGAGGCCATTTGCATAAGAAAACCTTCCAGCTGGAAGCCTGCAAAGACTCTGCTGGGAGCTGATTCTGTGACCAGACATCAAAGGAGAAGTCCCCTTTAAGTCCTGCTCACCCTGGGTGGCCTTTCTGTACTATCCCCACCATCGGTGGAGGCACTGGCACAGCCACACAGAGTGCACGAGTACTCTGCACAGAAGCCAGAAGCTGCCACTCCGGTTTCCGAGTGTGCTCCCAGAGATCTTTTACTCATTCTGTTCCTACATCATCTTTTCCTCACGCTGTGGACATCATACATCAAAAAGTCAACTGTTTAAGCTGTTAACCTGTGGAGTTCTGTAATTTGTTTTCCACATTTCCTGACAAAAGTGATATTCTGTTGCACTACAGTACAGTATCTCCAGTATTTACACATGGTTCCTCTCCATAATTACTAAAAGGCATTATTAGTCTGCACAGAGGCCCAAGAACAAAAAACTATAGAATTAATTAATAATTAATATTAATTAATAATTTCTCTTACCTGGTCTGTAGAAAAAGTTGCCCATAAACTTTTCACTTTCTAAAGCCCTGGACAAAACATTGGCTCTAGTAAACTCAACAGAATTAGCCTCTACCAATACTCCAAGTACAATCCAGCAAATTGTGAACAGGGATGGGATTGAGGACATGGCTCTCTTATGTGCTAATCATCAAACAACAGTTAAATCGTTTCAGCACCTGCAAAAAATAGCTTTGTAGAGCTGTGCTGCTACTTAATGGAATGAGGCGATTACGATCACAGTTCTGCAAATTGCAGTTCCTAAGGCTAATTTCAATGTGTGAATCACTGCTTTCCTGCAATTTATATCCATATGTGTGGTTATTTTTGAGAATGATTCAGTTTTGTATGTATAATTTTAAAAGGACTTTTTAAGTTAATGAACATCTGTGCTAAGAGCCCCTCAACAGAAAAGCTTGTGTCAGCCACTGATGACGCTGCGTAAACTTCCTGTTATCCTATAGGCATACATGTGGATCCTAAGGCTCTTACCAACTGTATACTGCAGGAGTAATCCAGCTGAAAACCACACCATTAAAATGCTTTAACAATGGTGTGGGAAACCCAAAATGTCCATGAATTTGAAAACTGTAATATCTGTTTTATAACCAAAATAGGACCAAACAGTAAATCTGCAATGCTTTTAACAGAAGCAAATAAAAAAAAGGGGAAAATTTCAAAATACTTTGATATTTTGATTGACATATATTCAACACTTTTAGCTATAGATCAACAGGACATCTATAGCTATATATATATATAGCTATAGCTATATATGTATCTATAGCTATAACAGAAAGCTACAGGTCAACAGGATTTCTGCATAACATATATTTCTAGGTACTGCCTTCTGGCTTGAACTTTTTTTCTCAAGATGAACCTATTTCTTGACATCCTGCATGAGAACCACATTGGTGTAAATCTAATGGAGGTAGATTTACAAAGGAATAATTAGGCACTGAAATTCAATGGGTAATCAAGTAACTGCTCACAGAGCAAGGTCACTCTTCTTTAGATTGTCTTTTCATCAGCTTCATTTTTCAATCTCGTTATTATGGGTTTTTGTTTCTGCCCTCTTTACATTCTTTAATCTCACAGACTAAAAGAGAATATACTCCAGAAGCCATAAAAACTGTCTTCCTATTTGCATATTTCCTGGGAAAGGGGTCTTAAATCTGGCAAATTGAAGTATGTCACAACCTTCCAGTTAAAAATCTCACTTTCTGTATTACCGACCTGTCATTAACCCTGCAAGACGGATGTTAATAAGAACCCACTGTTAAATGCAGCACACTACATATGTTGGACATCTGATGTTCCTTCTCCTAACTGTAATACGGAAAACTTTCTTGGACTCCCCTCTTAGGATCTGTGTCAGTGAAAACAGATGGAAACAGAATTGTACATAGGACCAATGACCCTGGTGTGAAGATGATGAGAAAACTTCACTTAGGAGGTGACTACATCTACAGATGTGCTAAAAAGGTGGAACTGTACTGCCTTGAGACAAAGCTGAAATGGGGTTTTCTGTGAAGAACTGAGCAGGTTAGACAACTGCAATTCCAGATAAAACACCAGCAGTCAAGGTTGTGTAAGTACAAGCTGGGGAAAGAGCATGCCACAGAACATACTCTGGCATGGGCAAGTAGTAACAGGCATCAAGCCATGGTGCTAATCCTTCTTCATCAGGATAATGCTATGTCCTGGTGCATACAAGTTCCTAAATGATGACACTGACTGGAGTGACCTTTAGGAAGCCCTCTCAAATCATTAGGCCTAATTCTTCTTGTGATTATGTTACTTTAACTTCAGAGCTACTGCACTGACTTCAAGGCAGTTGGTTTGGATTTACATCTCTCAAGCTGGCCTATTATTTCCTGTATTGTTTCCAGTTGCATGAAATCATCTGTGCATGTCCTCCAGGGCTGCTGAAACCCTCTGTCCTCCCCAGCACTACACATGATGCAATGAGCCTCTGATGGAGGAGGAAAGTCGAGAAGTCCATGTAGGGAAGCAGATAATTTCCTTTAGAGCAACGGATGCAAAAATAGCAGCTAATAAAAAGCCTTCAAACTGTGCCTTCAAACTGTGACAATTCAATACACACACCTACGAGGATGCCTTGACAAGCTGGTTGACTTCCCAGTAACTCTTTCTTGTTTTCTTTAGCGTAGCCTCCTCCAAACTCCCACACACAGGTATTCATCTCTGCAGTGACAGCTGAGACCTGCAGGTGTTTGCTGCTATTGCCCTTTCAGAACAGACAGACAGTTGTTCTTCACTGTAAACATTTGTATCATGGTGTTTGCCTGGCTAGTTACAGCCCAAATAATGATAAACCAGCCTTTTCTTTTTTTAGCCTCTTGCTGTCATGAATTAATTCTCTTTGCAAATAGACATTTGGTACTGGAAATAGCTCAAGCGAGATCACTCTCTGGTGATTATTTTACTAGTCTTACCTTTTAGAAATTGTTTCATATAGAGTATCACCAGATAAGTGTATTATGCAGTTGCCAGAAATACAGCACACTAAAATATTAGGTTCACACAGGAAGAAAAGGCTATGGCTAGTAGCCAGGATGCTCTTTGCCATTTCACTCCTTTAATACTAATATTATTTCACTGTTCTTCAAACTGCTACTCTGGCCTTGATAAGGAACAGTGAAGATCAGAATCAGAACTGTTTGCTGAGGACTGTAACACTTACAAGCATAAAAATGGTTTCTCAAAAGGGGTTTTGATCTTTTTTATGTAGCAAGAAGGTCCAGAATCTATGAATTTTTAAAATTGGCCTGGAATAGCAAATTGTGTAACCCTTAAGTTTTTCTGAAAGTCTACCTGGGAGGCTAAGAAGTGCAATAACAACTCCTGTTTTAACTGAAAATGCACAGTTACTCTATTTTTTAAAGGACATCTTTTCCCAAAATACTGACTTAACATTAACATTAAATAGAAATTATCAGGAAAACATTAAGAAACAAAGTTACAAAAATTCAGGAAACTTCCTTACAAACCACTTGCACTCCCTCAGCTGTTTACTTTTTGGTACCATGATTATGGTTTTTTATTTCCCTACTCATCAACAAATTAGACAAGACCCAAATTTTAATTTCAAGGGAAAAAAAAAAGGCAGCCCCCAAAGAAGTTAAAAAAAAAAGAGAAACAACAGTCTTTCTCAATCACTAGAGGTACAAAATGTGCCAGTATGAACTGCATTTACTGAGGGATTGAAACCAAAAACTTTAAAAAAAAAAAAAAAAGGATGTTCTTCATTTGGAAGGAATGGAAGATGAGAGGCCCAAGGCACTGTCTGACAATACAGTAACCATGTGCCAATGACACAGGCTATGAAACTCTATAATGTACTGTGCAGCACGTTTTCATTAGAGGTTGGGAAGTACTCTAATCCAAGAATGGGCAAAATCTGATTTGGAAAATATTATTCACAGTTCTAGTGATGTCTGTACCAGGAAGAGACATGAAAACTGCTCTTTCACACACTGAAAGTCATGGGAGAAGGCTACTGTGAAGAGGAGAAAAATGAAGAAATTTTTGTTCCTGACAGTGTGCCTTCTTTAACCCTCTAAAAGACTCTGATAAAGGACAAGAATACTTTCTCTAAATACATTTGTGAGGTAGGAGAAGAGTGTAATCAAGTAGGTTTATACTGATCATGAGTTAATTCAGATTGCTGAATTTTTAAAAAAATGCATCTGTTAGGAGAGAGAGGCTATGGTGCAGCTGTTTGGGGCAAGTGCTGGCAGCAGGATCCTACTTATTTGCAGCAACCACTTTGGTGGAAGCTGCTGTGTGACAGGACAGGAGTGATTCAGGAGTTAGAAACTCAGGCTTCAGAAACACAAGACTGATGCTATCCAATTCTGTGGTATACCTGAGAGACATTTGAGAAGAAGCCTGTCAGTGTTTTGCAGGCTGCTCCTTATTAATTTATTTAACTAAAGTCTTTCTTCAGGACTTGCACTGATTACCCACCTTTTTGGTTTCCCTCTTGTTGCATGATTTGGCTCTGGGTCAGCTTTAGTTTCCGCTGTGCTCTAAGGCACTGAGGACGGGTGACACAGTCAGTTGTGCTTTGAGGGGCATCACCAAATTCCAGCTGGTGCAGCTGGCTCAGGCCCACCTAGTGTTATACAGTTTCCCAGCTCAACTGGTAATTTTCAGAGGAAAGATTGATGGGGATTGCTCCTGCTGTATGTTGGGTGTGACTGACTTCCTAGGATCTCTCAGGAATTTTTGTCAAGTGTAGTTTCCCTTTCGGGGCTTAGGATGCTGCTGACACTCTTCACATCTCTTTTTCCCTGGCAGACTGAAATTTTTATGGGGTTTGGTGCCTTACATAGAAGGGGCTAAAGTATTAGTGAGTTTTGGGGTTTTCCCTGTAGCATGAGGTCTCAGGTTCGTATTGCTCCTATCCTTGACTCCTACTGCATGGCTTCCTGCAAGAGTGGAAGACTTAGGCTCAGCAACCTATGCTTCTTCTTCCAATCTGAAGATATGGAGTATATCCAACATGCTCTCCTTAAATAGCAAAACATGGTACAAAGTATGCAGAAGACTTTAAAGAGAAACAGGATCATTTATACTTTATACTCAGAATTTTATACTGAACTGCATCCTCTTGGTCTTCTGTCTCAACTGTGACAGAAGTGGAAGAAACTAATTTCAAGAACGGCAACAAGGAGGACCCCAGAAATTACAGACCTGTTAGTATCACTTCAATGCTAAGTGAAGTTATGGAGAATATTATTCTAAACGTATTGAAAGATGCCTGAAAGACAATGCAGTCTTTGGTCACAGCCAGCATGGCTTCATGAGAGGAATGTCCTGCTTATCAAACCTGATTTCCTTTTATGACAAGGCCACCCATCTAGTTGATCAAGGAAAGCAGGGTGATATAATCTGTTTGGATTTCAGTAAAGCTTTCAATACTGTCTCTCCCAGGTTCCTTCCGGACAAAATGCCCAGCACACAGCTGGATAAACACATCACGTAGTGGGAGAGCAATTGGCTCATGGGTCAAGCACAGAGAGTAACAGTGAATGGGGTAACATCAGACTGGTGACCTGTCACTAGCGGGGTTCCACAGGGCTCAGTCTTGGGCCCTGTGCTCTTCAACATCTTCATAAATGACTTGGATACAGGACTGGAAGGGATACTAAGCACATTTGTGGATGATATAAAACTGGGAGGAGCTGCTGGAGGACTACATTAGAGGACTGGGAAATCACCTAGCAGATGAAGTTCAACAAGGGAAAATGCCACATTCTGCACCTGGAATGGGGCAACCTGAGATATATGGACAGACTGGGAATGAGATGCTGGAAAGCAGTGCCATGGGAAGAGACCTGGGGGTTCTGGTAGATGGCAAGGAATATGAGTCAGCAGTGCCCTGGCAGCCAGGAGGGCCAACCGTGTCCTGGGGGACATCAGGCAAAGCATCGCCAGCTGGTTGAGGGAGGGGATTGTCCCACTCTGCTTGGCACTGGTGTGGCCTCACTTTGAATACTGTGTGCAGTTTTGGGCACTGCAATATAAGAAAGATATTAAGCTTTTAGAGAGCATCCAAAGGAGGGCAACAGAGATGGTGAAGGGCCTTGAGAAGAAGCCGTATGAGGAGTGGCTGAGGCCACTTGGCGTGTTCAGCCTGGAGAAGAAGAGACTGAGGGGAGACCTCATTGCAGTTACAGATTCCTTGTGAGGGGAAGGGGAAGAGAAGGGGCAGGCATTGATCTCTTCTCTGTGGTGATCAGGTTCAGGACCTGTGGGAATGTCCTGAAGTTGTGCCAGGGGAGGTTTAGGTTAGATATTAGAAAAACGTTCTCCACCCAGAGGGTGGCTGGGCACTGGAACAGGCTCCTCAGGGAAGTGGTCACAGCACCAAGCCTTGTTCAAGAAGCGTTGGGATGATACTCTTGGAAATATGCTATGACTCTTGGGAATGGTCCTGTGCAGGGTTAAGAGTTGGACTTGATGATCCTTGTGGGTCCCTCCCAACTTGGCACATTCTGTGATTCTGTAATTTGTGAACCTCTCTGCTGTTTAGGGCAAACTAGGCCTAAAGGAAGATGGAAACCTCACTAACAGCCCCAGCCTTTTGACAGAGTTTTGAGTGATTTGTACAAACAGAGTAAGGGAGTCCTTATTTTCTCCACTATTCCTTGTGCTGTTGCATAAAGGCAAGTAGGTTATACAATAGCTAAATAGGGATTACACAACTGAGCTCCATAAATCTAAACCAGAAACAGAGTCCCTATCTTGCACTGGACAAACAAGAATGTGAAAGGGTGAAATTCTGGTCCTAATGAAGTTAATGGCAAAACTCTTGCTTAGTCTGGTGAGATCACAGTTTCATCCAAAATCTTGGCTCAAGCCTGTAGTTGGCTGATCAGGCTGGATACTTAAAGCACATCCTTGTTAAGTTTTTCCAAGTACTGGGACAAGTTGACTTGTTTCCTTTTTTTTCCTTTTCTTTTTTTTTTTTTTTTTTTTTTTTTTTTTTTTTTTTTTTTTTTTTTTTTTTTTTTTTTTTTTTTTTTTTTTTTTTTTTTTTTTTTTTTTTTTTTTTTTTTTCACTTTATGATAAAGAAATGCAGAAAGTATTTTAAGATCAAGTACTAGTCAACCATTTGCAAACCTGAACTGGAAGACTAAAAGGCCCTGATGTATTATCTCTGAGTGCAAGAAAAATAATAACAAAGTAGTTGTTCCCATGATTCAGTGTCAATACTTTAAAACACAGAAAGCTGCTTTGAAGCAATACCTGTGTATCTGAGGGAAAGACGGGAAACTGACCTGTGGAGGCTGGGAATCAAACAACAAAAACCAGTCACCGACAAAACAAATAAAAGCCCCTAATGAACCTGAGACCTAAGCTCTGCAAGTAAATAACTTTGTGAAAGGATCCTTTGTGCTACAAGGACTGCAGTGCAGCATAGTGTTGATGGAGCTGTTTGGCATGCAGACCAAACCAATTACTTGACAGTTGTTTTACTTTGGCCCAGGGTGGACAGCGGTTCCGGGCAAGAAAAGCCATTGCAGTTTCTTCGTGTCCCCAGGCTCATCTGGTCTGATTATTGAAAACTATTGCTGTTACAGTGGATGCTAGCATGTACATCAGGGCTTCCCCCATCTACAAGATTCCTGCCCGATGAAAAAGAAAGGGAAAAAGAACGGGGCAGAAAGAGGAAAGCTTGCACAATCAGCCATACATCACATGCATTCCCAGCCTAAGGCATAGCTCTCTCCCCCTCTTCCCTGAAGTACCTCTCACGGAGCTGATTCAATGCATAATGTCGTTCACAATCTAACAGTGCACAATGACTTGGGATCATCCTTATCTTACAGAAGAAAGCTATAAATAATAATCTTGGGCAAATCTAACATCATGACTGGGTGGTAGGATCCCGAAAAAACAATTCCAATGTATTAATACACACAAATGACAAACCATTTATTGCAGAACATTTTGGAGTTCTGTAAATCCCTCCAACAAGCATCAGATAAAGCTGTCAGGGTTGGGGATGAATTGTTTCTCCGTATGTGTTCAGATCTGAGCAGTTAAAAAGACTTAGCCTGCTATAAACAATTGGGTACGGTAGGTCAGTGCCATTCCAGTGTTATTGCTGACTTAGGCCTGCCATGGATGTAATTCTCCAGGCAACCATCTGGGAAGTTATCATTGCCTTGACTGTTTCATGACCAGCCTCTGATCAGCTCACATACGGCCCAAACAGGGCAAGCCAAAACCTCACAGCCTCAACTATAACTTCCAACTTTTATCACTGTGAAATACAGTGGTGTGGCAGGCTGAGCCTCTGTCCCTCCTCTGCACCAGGAGGTGCAGCTGGAACATGAGAGGCCAGATAAATGATCCTTTTTTTTTTTTTTTTCTGACTATGTAGAACAAATAACTACTCGGCCTGAGTTTCATATCCACCCATCTCCCTGCAAGCTTACACCATCAGCTTGGACATACCCATGTTATTTTACATTATCCCCTCTGACACTTGTTTACTTCTTTCTCCCTTCATTCATGTTTGTCTCTTATACTAATATTACTTTACATTTACCTTTCCCACCTTACTTGTTCCCTCTCTCACATCCACAATTGCACCCTCTTCACATTACTCCCTCTTTCTTTTGCTTTGTTACACAGTGGACCATACAGAACCCATCCTTGACCTCAAAAGTAAATGATGATGATGGAGAGAAGAAGGAAAGAAGAGAATGTCTCTGTATGAGAGGCAGTGGGAAATGCAGTGTACCCCTTGAATGAGGTCTTTTGAGAGGGTACTGAAGGACTATCTGGGTTACCCAGAATTTCCTTTGGTGAACTCCTGCTTTCTCCAGATCATGGGTCTTGTTCTAAATCCATGTTTCACTGGGTAGAAGCTTTGCTTGAATACTCACATGTAAGACCCAAGGATTAAATCCAGAGGTATATAAGCAGGTAAGATGATGCCACAGTCAGTACACTATCATGTGCCTAAGTTAGGCCTCAGTTGTCTCCTGGAAGCCCTTATGATTACTGAGCTTCTATCCCTTTATGCAGGTAGTTTTTATGTAGCAGGGAGTTACTATTTTTTTTTCCAAAAATAAGCAGAGCGCATGTTTAAAACTGCTGCCTCTGACAGTAAAGATCTTTGCCAACAGTCATGTTCAGCATATACATTCATTCTTTAGTGTAACAACTGACATGGTAAACACTGAAGTACAGAACAGAGTCCCACCAAGTATTGCAAAAATGCAATATTCAAAATCAGATGCAAAAAAAGAAACCCTGGCCCTTGGTGTTCACTGGTGTCTCTGCAAACAGAGGCACTGATTACCATCCCATATATTTTTTCTACATTCTAAAGTGCAGTCAGGCTTGTTTTATATTGATCAAATAACTCGAAGTGCCAAGTTCCAGAAGAACATTTTATACAAGGAATCTGGATCATCTGCTTACTAATACTAGGTTTATCTTTGAAAGAAGACAGGGAAGACTTACTTCAGTTGTCAAGTGAATCAGCATTCATCAATAATTCCTTTGCCCTGTTCAGCCTCAGCCAGATGTAGAGACAATCACTTTCCAGACATCCCACAAACACTGATGCTGAGGTGACACTCTCCTTTACTAACACAGCAGCCCAAATTGAGTGGCTAAGAAAGAGGCCTTCATTTTATCTATAAGGAATTCACTGGCAATGAGTCATGTGAGAGCAGATACAGAACATGTGGTTAAAGATGATGAGTTAGTTTATCTTACAGGATAAACTCTAGGGTTTGTAAATTAACAGCTTGGCCACAGATTGCCCTTCCCAAGCCACAAACACTTGACAACTTAAATTCCAATAATGAAATTACAAAATATGATAGCAAACAGCAGATACTGTCAAGTATATGACTTGCCACATAGCACAAAAACAGTATCAGCAACAGTAATTAATGAACACAGTTACGTTTATCCCAGCAATCCTAGAAGGTCTTTGCAAACTTCAAACATCAGTTTATGGCAACCATGTTCAGCAAAATAAGCCAGAATGAACAAGCGCAACTGGCTATTCTTACCCTCTACAAAACAACTTTTCAGCCATAAGTAGGTTTAAAGCCCTGGCTTAAGTCAGGAGAAGCTTAATGACAGCCTTTTAGGTGCTGAGTGTATAACAATTTCTCACTTAGTTTCTTCTTGAGTAAAATAACTCTCATGCTGTTGTCCAGTACTTACACTTTCTCTAGTTAAATGAAACATTCTAAACCTCCTCCTCAAAGTCAAAATTTCCATTTGTCTTTGCAATATTTAAGAACATATTTTGAAGTTAATTAAGAACATATCTTGAAGTTAATAACTTCAAAGTGTTGAACCAAATTTGATTACCAACTCTTCATTTTCATCTGCTGCTTCTTCTTCACTAAAGCCAAGCAAACATGCAAAATTTTTGTCCAGAGAAAAATACTTTTCTGTGATTTATTATTAAAATCTAAACCTAACATATATAAACAAAACATAACAATCTTACCCTGATTAACTCTTCAAATTTACAAAAACCTTCAAACTCAAAAACAGGTTCTCCATATGTCAGCCTCTTAATTACTTGTCAGAGAGACGGTTGAGTGTAAAAGCAGAATCAGTCACACCAATGTGGTGAGAAGACTGAACAAGATCTAGATTATTCTTATTACAGCAGTTCACTTACCCGATAGTAGTCTGTGCTGTACACATCTCTAGACATCCCAAAATCCCCAATCTTCACCAGTAGGTTTTCACCAACCAGACAATTCCGAGTAGCAAGATCCCGATGCACAAAGTGCTGTGATGCCAGGTAAACCATACCAGATGCAATCTGCTGGGCAATGTGAAGCATCTGGGACTGGGTCAGCTCAGTAGGACGGTTGCCTTCTGCCATCAGTCCTGCATCTGGTCCATGTGCCCTGCACCAAAACACAAGCAGATAAACAGACAGAGCACTTGTAAGATGGAGAGAAGGGCATTAGTGAGCTTAAACCCACACAACGCCCTCAAAAGGCCTACAAATTCCTTGGTGAAATAGGGAAAAAATTGTATCTTGGCTTTTTTCATTTGCTGTTTTCCTTCATTGTGGGAAAGAGAGGTGGTGTGCAGAGCCTTACACAATAGGATATATATTACTAAAGGAAATAAAGCACATGTGTTCACAATAACACCCATCTGTCAGAAAGCACAACCTTTCTCCTGTTCCATTCTAGTAATCTTTTCCAGAGAACGCTGACAAACACACCTGTTTTGTAACATTCTAAGAGTGAAAGACAATTGAGGGAAAGGCAATGAAGTGGCATGCATAGCATCACTTTTCCTATGACTGGCATGCCTTGATTACTAGAAGGAGACAAGACATTGACCCCTTCCATCTTTTCTTAAAGAAGAAAAAGCTCACTTCCTTCTGAGATCTGAGAAACAAGGGCAGCAATCTTTGATTTTTACTTCTGTTTTCCTATCCAAATGCACAGCAGGAAAGAATTTTTGCTTATTTCATCACCAAGGGACAGTCCTATCTGAGACAGGAATTCTTGAGGATAGGATGAGGACACAAAACACACGCTATCCGAAACAAAACAGCTTCAGAAATTCAAGCTTTTCAAAAGCTAGCAAATCTCTAAGATGCAACAGTCAACTGACTAAGGAAAATACTTCTATGCACTCCAGCAAAAACAGATATGTTTTGCGTTAGAAAGGCCCAGTGAAGTACTGGGACACATGTGCTTCACCCACCTTAACTACGTTAGGTCTAGTAAGCATCTACATCGTCATATATTGACGACACTATATGCACAACATTTTACAGTAAGAATTACCAGCTAATCCTTATCCAATATACAAGAGCATCTAGCAATCATTCATTTGATATAGCTTATAATATTCTGAATATCCTTTTCCATTCATTCAATTTTCCTGTGTTTTCAGAAGCCATTTTTATTCTGTTCCTGAAGACTAATCATTCTAAGAGACCACCTCTCTTTTTCCCCTCATCAACTTTTGCTTTTGAAAAATGTTCTAGAACTGACTTTTATTTCCTCTCAAAGCCTTCCTTCCTATAAAGCGGAGTTTCAGAGAATCGCCTTCCTAATCAACAGAGGTGAGGCCTTAATTTATCTCTAGGGGAAGGGCACAGGAGTTTGCAAAAGAGTTGCAAATTAATCAGATCTGTGAGATCAAATCTGACACTACCTATCAGAAATATGATATTAAAATTGCCTCAAGGGAAAAATTTTATGAGAAAAGTGACAGATGTGAGAAAGAAATGGAAGGTGTGTAGCACTGCTGGGATGGCATCTGGTACCATTCTCTCTGCCACAGGGTATGTACATGCAGCTATTCACCTTATCTGGTTGGTAGAGGGGAATAAATGGGAGGATATGAAATCTCCAACTAAAACTCAAAGGCAAATTCTTACTGAAAAACATTGTACCTTTATCATGCATGGATTTTTTAATAACTGTTCTCAGAGACATGAATCTCTGAGTAGCTAAATTAGAGAACTCATGATATTTTGCTAGCCTTCATGAGAACATGGTCTGTATCTAATGAAACTTTTAGATTATTCCTAATGCTCTGTCCACCGTGATTATTCTCTTGATGCTGGTCATAAATTAGGTGATCCTCAGGGTCTACAACAGCCAGGAACATTGACAGAGACATTCTCTGCAGCGACAACACACTCCACTAGTCAGAACAAGCACCAGGCAGGCATGACTTTGAGGCTTTAGTCTTAGACCTAAACAGCCTTTGGCTGCATGCAGACAGCCAGCCTCATTTGGGTTAAGCTTTCAGATCAATTTTTCCCCAACAGCCTTTGGTGGCGCTGCAGGGTAAGAAATACAGGCTCTTATAGCCCGCTCTGCTACAAACCAGTGGTCTGCAGCACAAGCTGCAGCAAATATGAGAGGAATAACAAACTGGAGTCGAGGTTTAACAGCTTGTCCCAGCATAATCATTTTATGTTCTAAAGATAAGGGCTGATTAACAATTTTTTAAAAAGTAAAGGCCTAAAGCAGGAAATATGCTGAACCACTTTCCTGTACAATAATTCAGAATCAGAGTTAAAAGGTAAGAAAAGGCCAATCAAAAAGAATAAAGAATTAAGCATTTCTTATGGAATAAGAAATTATTTTTCATCAGCTGAGAATCTGGCTTTTTCTAATGGAAATTCAGTGTTCTGAAAACATACTAGGATGGTATCTGGGGAAACTGCAGTTGTCTTCTAATTCACAGAAGACCAAGCAGGCCAATGTAAATGCCCTGAATTCTTAAATATATTTAAATCCTCTGCCAGAGAGACAATCAGTCTGATATCTTTCCGAAGTGGCGCTAACTCCTAGTTATCTTCAGCAGGAGAGACTCTGTATATTGAAATGTCTTTGTAATATATTTTGGTGAAAATTACATAGAAGGTGCTGAAACAACAGTCCGTTACATTTTTAATACAGTAGCAAAAGCTATCTCTTATTGCTTATATCTCTTAACTGCGTATTTTTATGTTAATAAGTGCAGGCTAGCGGAAATGGCATATACATGAAGCCTCTGTTCACAACTTCCTGGTTCATAAGTTACCTGTTATTGTGAATCTTAGGTATCATCTATTTATTTATGACTGCTTTACTGTCAAATTTCAATTTCCAATGCACATTCCTGAACAGCTTTATGAAATGAAGCCCTAATCCAGACCCCAAGATGCAGTATTTTCCAATTTGCAGACGCTCTCATGGCTCACTCTTTTTTTTGCTGAAGACTTATGGTAGTCTTTCCAAAACACTGAGAAGAGGGAAGAGAAAAGGGTTTAGACTTCAAAAGCTCTTAGATGCCTACAGATAGTGATAGGTGTTGAGTGGGATCTTCTAAGTGCTACCAGAAAGCCTCCAAGAAAATGATTCGTACTGTAGGATTTATAACCAAACATTTCAGAATACACTGAAATACATTGGAAACAATATTTCTTTGGCTCACATTTGTTTGGTAAAAAGCATAAGGCTTGATTTAATGGTACTTCCAAACAGGCAAAGGGACAGCGCCCCACATTTCAGTACAGAAGACAGGAGTCACACAATCTGTACTTCTAGATGTTAGTATTTTCCAGTGGTAGTAGTTAATTTGACATTAAGTACCAGTAACACCTACGTTCTCTGTCCACTTTTGGCTCAGCAGCACAATATATATTCATGGATTTACCTGAGGAATTTGTTAAGGTCTCCATGCTTCATATATTCAAAGACCATGATGAGCGGATCACCCTCAACACAGACACCATAGAACTTGACAATGTGCTCATGCTGCAGGTTAGTGAGCAGCTCTGCCTCACGGTGGAAGTCCTTGCGGGCATTGTCACTGGCATCCTTCAGTGTCTAAGCGGAAAAAATGAAAATGTAAAGGACAGATGTCCACAGAAGGTAGGGAACATGCAGAACAGCACTGTAAGGGTAAGATAAGGACAAACTACAGCATAGAGGATGAAGGAAGTATTTTCTTAATAACTCTTTTAGAAATGCAGATGTGATCCTTAAGTGCAATTAAATAACGGCAGTACAATTTTCATTCTCCTGCCACATGTTATCCTGAACAACAATTTTTCTTGTAAGAGGATGTAAGAATACTCATGCTCTTGCTGTGGGAAGTGTTTTCCAAACACTAAGCAAATAAACTGATCTCATCCAAAAATATACTCGTACACAGCTGGTTTGTACGCTTTCACATCTAACTTACGGAACCCCTAGTATCCTGTTTGTATTTACCTTTCTTGTTAGTTCTTTAAAATAAAACTCTGCTTGTTTAAAATACTTGTTGGTAACGCAGATGCATTCTTTATGTATTACTAACATTGCTGTTGCTGATGTTAGCCCATATGGTGTGCTACACATTAGGTAGATTTACTCAAGCTTATGTACCCGGATCAGAACTTACAACCTGAGCCAGAAACTCCTTTGGAAGTTCTATAAATCTACTCACATGCCCAAAATAAGGCATAAGTAACTTCAGGATTAATCCTGAAGTGATAGGCAGAGAGAAAGGCAGATGCAGATCAGAATTCTGGAGTGTAATTTTTTTCTCACCGCTTTTTATTTATATAGCTCTAAATTCTTGCATATTTTAATTCTGAAAGAAATATATCAACACTGGATCAAATAGGAGGCTTAAAAGTTGTATAATGAAATAATACTAATTAAACTGTCAAACATAGGCTGTTTCAGATTTCTTCTTAAGAACTACAGTTTATGAGCAAGGCAACACTTTCATGCACCACAAAAAAGCAAGTTCTGACACTAGTTAAATAAGGAATAATTATAATTGACAATAAACCACTAATAGACTCTATATTCAAGAGGTATAGTGGTTGCACTATAATAGCTCAAACAATATTTTTAAAACTGCAAAGGAAAGATGGCAAGTTATCAATGTTCACAAATTATTCTTCACAGAAACTGCTTGTCTGGGCTCTGTACCTCTGGATTTTAACAATAGGCTTAAAAAAAAGAGAAAACAAGATACAAAAGTAGTTGCAAAGTTTTAACTAAAGATGTCTTTTCCTTGCCATCTAGTCACTTCATTTTCCATCCTGAATTAATATACACATCATGGGATCAACTACACTCATCAGAAGAGACACAGACCAAATTCATACTGTGCAATCATTCTACCAATAAACTGAATTTTTAGCTACAATAGTCATGGTTTGTTCAAGATTTTTGTTCCATAGGGACAATTCCATTCGTTTTCCTAGTACTATATGTATGCATGCGCGATGAAGGGACTAGTAGATGACTGTCAGAAAAAAACACTTGCTTTACTTGTGAAATTGCAAGGGGTCTTGAAAAATGAAAAACTACCATAATAAGATTCAGATGGGGGAACAAGGAGCAGGGCAGATTAGATAGCTGTCTTCCAAGTTCAGAGGCTTTCCCCTGTGGATTTCAGGCTCTGTGGATTCTAGAGGCAAGAGAAATCACTTATGCCACAGCTGCCCCTTTCCTGAGCGACCTACTTATGAATCTCAAATGCCTTCAGGCCCAGAATCCTTCTTCTCTAAGTTTTACAAATAATGATGCAACAAGGATATTGCATTGTCAAGACTTCACTAGGCATGATATGTCAGTATACACAGCTGTATCATGGGTATCAAATTTGCTGTCCACTGTGGTCTACACACAATCACCTCTGAACCGAATAAGGACACTTCCAAGGTCTGGGATGAGGTTTCAACATGATACAGGCACCAACCCATAGCCCAGTCTACACTGTATGTAATGAAATCACGGGGAATAATTCTGTTGTCATTTGAATTTCCTCTGGTAGTGTAATGTATAAAGTGATTGGACTGTAATTTCTCTCAACAGAATTAGAAAAACAATTCATATAAACCCCATTTTTAAATAACAGCAACCTGGAAAAAAAACTAACCGGGAGAAACAGAGGCTGATCCTCTTTCCAGTGGGCTCTTTCCCCAGAAAGACAGTAAAAATGCTGACAGCTCTGTCCTGTGAGGAAGGCATATTGCATATTTGAGAAGATGCTTTTTATCCCCCAGAAACTGCAAAATTATCGTATGACAGAGCAGTTGCCATGGCAATTCTGCATTTTCTGTCAAACAGCAAAATGCAGAAAGGTCTAAAATTCAGGTAAAACTCATGCAGGGTTTCACCAAGGGGTGACTTGAATTTTTATCATCCACCATTGCAAAATCTCCTTTTTGTTATTTCATGCAGTGCACAGAATAGACACCATGCATGAGAGAGCTGGCACAGTCAGCCAAAGAGGAGACTGGAAGGTGAAAAAAATTGTAAGTATGTAGAATTTATATAGAGGTGACACTGACTAATGCATTTAACTTGATCTCAGCACAAGAGAAAAAAATAAAACCAAAATAAAACCATAACAGCACAGAGAGAGAAAAAGACATATTAATTACTATTATCATTACTGACAAGTACGCCAAAGCTCTGCATATAAAGCACACTCACCAGAAGGTTTTCCCAGGTGGAATCTGAGATTCAACCACATGTAATTTCCAGCCACTCAGGCCAGCAGTTAAGGAAGAGGGCAAGCTTCCTTGGGCAACAGAGGGAGCCCCCAGCTCTTATAGGAGCTCCACATCCGCTGAGTTCATCATTGTGACAGCTGGACCACTACCCCTCGCTTAGTCTCCTCCACAGAGTCCTTGTCCATCTGTTCTGTGCAGATTTGTGCTCTGTAGTGAGTGTGAACTGCCAGCTCTTTACCCCACACTGACACCACAAAGCTCCATTCATAGGCAAGTCAGAGCAAGAGCAGGAGGATGTGACTGTCACCAATATCAGCAGGACTTGGTATCAAAACTCTCATGACATATGACCTTTCTACTGTTTCATCCTTCTCCTATGAAATTATTGCTACTGCTCCCCAACACCACGCAAAAGCTGAGTGGTATGTGTGCTCAAGAAATGAAGGGGTGGTTTTCTGCCTTCTTGGAAATGAAGATCCAAAGATTTGGAAACCTTTGGTTTTCCTGTGAGGGTGCCATGGACATGTTCTTGATCTCATGCAAATAGTCTGCTAGCTGAGCTCTACCCTTGAGCAGAACAGGGTGAATCTCCCTCCAACCTCCCAAGGGAGCCAGAGGCAGCTGCTAACCTGAGCCTTGTCAGTCAGCCTCACCTCTAGCTCTGGACAGGTTAAACAAGTGCGAGGCTGTGCCTGGGGATCCAACCCTATGAGGAGACAGCACTGAGCCAGGCCTGAACAACCACAGTGGCACCGCAAAATGTACCTCAAGGAAAGAGTGACTTTTCCCTCCTCCACCTTCTGTTCTCTAAAAGTGCCTGCAGCACTGTGCTGCACTGTGCTGAAATGATGTGGTAACTCACATGAGGGAAAGCTAGTACAATGCCCATGCTCACAGGGTTTGTCCCACGGCAAACATTTCTAAATACTCTGTACTGCCCTCAAAAAGACTAAACTAATCAAAACTAATTTAAACAAACTGTCTTTCTCCTCTCCCGAGGAGCAAGAGCTCAAGCTCTTTGTGTTGTTTACGCTAAGCCTGATTTTATCTTCCTAGATTTTTCTGGGCCTCTTAGCTCCTAAATAATTTGCCGCAGCAACGTCAGCATTTTGGATACCAGCTGGCTGAAAAGAAGGCGCAAACATGTTGAATTATAAGGAGGGCCAGGCATGAACCTTACAGTTGTCCAGCAACTGGCAGACACAGGCAGCCCACTGGGGACCACCAGCATCCACCGTGCAAGTGAGACTGTGCCTCCTTGCTGCTGAAATCCCCTTAGCGCTATCTCTTACTCCTCACTAAGTACATATTCCACTGGTCATAACAAATCTATGTCATGGTGATGGGTGTGTTCTGGTTTTGCCCACGGGGCCGAAGCTCTCTAAAGCCCTTGCTGTGTGTCAAGAGGAGCTGCCTGCTGCTGGCATCGAAGCCTGCTCCTCTAAGACTAAAACTGAGACACTGCCAAATACTGTGCTCAGCAGTGGGGTCCAGACAAATTCCTCTGGACAGCTGTCTGCACTCCAGTTAGGTCCCATCCCTTGACCTCCACTGTGACTGAAGGATACTTGTGATCTATGTTGCTACCACAGGAAAAGAGAGAAGTGTTAGGCAATTAACCCCTCTTACATGACGATCAATCTAGTGGCTCAGTTCATCAAAAAATTTGCTCTTTGACAGCAGCCAGAGTCATGTCTTTAAGAGCCAGTGGCAGAAACATAAAATGGGCATAACCTGTCCCCAGAGATGATTCTTCTCACAGCTGCCTGCAAGATGCTTATTAAGGACACTAAAAAGAGTGCATTTGGTAAAAAAAAAAAAAAAAAAAAAAAAAAAAAAAAAAAAAAAAAAAAAAAAAAAAAAAAAAAAAAAAAAAAAAAGAAGGTATGACAACTTGTCCAGAAAACAGACAAATTTCTCATCTAAATCCATGGAGACACCTCTACCTTTAAAGGCTGAATGTTCTTCCTTTTGAACTATGCAGAAAGAAAGTGCGGTGCAGCACTGAATAGCAGAAGTGCTAGGCTCCATTCAGTCAGGACTTTGAAGTGGAGCAAGTGAACAGCAATACTTTTATTTTGCTATCAAGGAGTTCCCTAAAGCGATAGAGGAAAGGCAATTTCCATTGTAGCTTCACCAAAATACAATAGAAAATTCATTCAGATCTAGTTTTGCAATCTCCTATCTCTTGCTTTCTCCTGTCTATGCTATATCCCTTCAGGGCTTAATTTTTTCTCAAGAGTCAGTGTGACCGAACAACTCCCAAGTATCATAAAGACTGTAACCCTGGCAAACCCAAAAATGTGTTATTTTTGACGGAGCACTCTATAGGGCTATTCTCCTTTCATGTTCTCTCACTGTCAGGTCCAAAACTCTACTTCTTGTTACCAAATTCAAAAATATGATCTACTCTGTTTCTTTTACTGCATGGTTTCATCCATGCACCCATCGTTGCCTAACTGTGACTGGTCAGATAAAATCATTTTCTGATCCCTAGGCACAGCCCAAATTCCAAACATCTATTCCACCTGCATTTAACGAGATACTTCAAATGCTGGACACCTTGCTCAAGTTTTGGCAGAACACTACAGATGGAGATAAGAGATTGTTTCCAGGGAAACTGCAAATTTTGAGAGAGTAGTTCCACTAATATTGTTTTCTAGCTACATCCTTAGCTGAGATCAACAGCCAACCTGAGATCTTGAATTTTAGGGAGATGAAAAGACTTCATGCAGTGAAACAGGCTTGGTCTCCAAGCTCTGAGATCAATCTGGAAATCTTTTTAATCCTTGGTAGTTTCCCAACATAGCAGGTACTCTTTGCCCTTTAGAAGAATAAAAAAAAAAATCTCTTCCCGCCACTCCCCCCCCAGCAAGAAATGTAAAATTCGTCTGTATACTTGAAACTCCAAACATGTTTTCATTCATTTTCCTCTTCCTTTGGACTTTATTTTGAGATCATTGATTGGAGCTGTATATAATCAAGAATCACTCCTCCAGATCTGACATATGATGACTGTTGGATTTCCATACTGCCAGTGTTTAACACTACGTGACAATACCATCTACAAGTTTGTTTTAATATTCCTGGCAGCTATATTAATGACAATTACACTCAGATAATTTCAGTTGCAGACGTAAGAATGTCATAGTCCTGAAAAACAAAGGCGTTCTTTGCCTGGAAATTACCCACAACACCCATTCACTTAGCTAGTAATAGATTACTTTTTTAGATACACAACGCATATGCTACTTGTATTCTAACGACCTAGACATCACTTTTCACTAATTGTACTGTACATAGATCATAGAAGATTTTACCCCCTTGTGACACAATCTGTTTTTCTCCTTTTCCGTATGAGATTCAGGTCTCATTTTATAATCCACAGCAAGATCAAACACTGCATTCTCTTAACACTCAATTAGCCTTGTGAACTTTTCTACATGTATCAGAACAGCTACACTGTATTATGGAATAGGCAAACATGATAAATTACAAATAAAATAACACTAGTTGCAACCATGCATTAGTAATGGAAACCCTAAATTCTTTTACCTTCACTGCCACCAAGATCTTGCTCTGCTCAGGACACAGGTTATAGCATTCTGCCAGAAAGACTTTCCCAAAGGCTCCTTCTCCCAGTTCTCTTTTGAGAACAATATTGTGGCGCTTGATATGATGCACAACTGTGAAAAGAAGACAAAATGGAAGTCAGAAAGGAATCACAAGGCCAGGATGGGATGGAGTCCGTGCTTACAGCCACATGGAGACAAGCTTGCTGTAAGGTAGGATGCATACTGTGGAAAGAATCAAAGTGCCCATGAGTCATTCATTAGTGCTTTGTGCAAAAAGACTAAGCTTATATATTAATAGTTGAAGGGCAGCACATTTGCTGGATACGAAGACATGGAATTCAGAGTCACCTGGGAAAAGGCCAGTTATCATCATGTTAGGAGGACTGCTGCAGAGCACACACAAGGCAATGCTGCTGTTTTTAAAATACATTAAGACAATTAATTAGAAAACAAAGCAAACCTTTCTCACACCTCTTCTAATTTTGTACCTTTAACAATAACAGAACACTCTCCTCCAAAGCCAAAAAGTTTTAAAATTAAGCTAATCTAAGAACACCAAATGTGCCCTCTTTTAACTAAATGCAACTTAATACTCTGATTTACTTACCACTTGTTCAACTGCTTTCCTTCTCAGTGCTAATATATAGTTACAATAAGATAAATTTTATTCTTGCAAACATGATCTACAGTATTATTTTGAAGTAAAAGAAAAGATGGACAAAGGTTTTAGTCCACATAGTGGACAGAAACTTCACTGAAGTCCTTGAGGTTTTCAATTTATTATACATTCTCCTTTCAGCAAAAGCTTACATTAAAACCTTTAATATTTAAGAGACTGTACTAAATTTTGTAGAATACATTATCAGTTTGCAAAGTTCAAGCTCAATAAAGCAGCTCTAAGGGCAGTTTAGCTGCCAACTGGATGGACAGCTTGTGTTGCTGAATCTGTACAAAAGAGACAGGATCTACTCATGAATTTAACCTCAGTGCACTTAGCTGCCTTTGCAAACACTGAAATTAACCCCTGCCTCGAAATGGCCCATTTGCAACTTAAATCCTAAACACAGTGAATTAAATTGGGATGCACGGACATCAAGCTAGCTTCTGCCAGGGTTTGAATCTTACCTTGACTGCTTAACTGCAGGACTTAACCCTGCCAATAATTTAGGATCTAGGCAGATGCAGCCCAACTGCTGTCGCCATATCTGGGCACACATCTGTTCCAAAGTGGGTGACCACCTGTACAAATAACACCTTGCCTCCATGACTAGAAGATGAAAAATGGAGTGCTGATGATAACTGCAGTGGGGAGAAATGCCACAGCCTATCCCAATTCCTATCACCAGCATTTGGAGAAAAGGACCACAGCCTAAAAGAGAAAAATATGTGTGTCCCACACCCTAAGCCCACAGAAACATAAAACAAGTGCACTGCACATAAATACACTTTGTATCCACATGCTTACACACGAGGGGAACCTGATGCTGGAGTGAGCTCGGAAAGCAAGAGATCCATTAGGAGTCTGCTAGGTGGGAAGCACACCCGAGGAGCCTATCTCCACCAGACCCAGCTGGCACCCTCCAGAAACCCCCTATCAGCATGCAAGCTGGCCCTCCATAACCTTTGCACAGTGTGAGGAAAGCTGAATTCTCCCCACAGCACACCAGACTCACCAAGTCTCACTGCCATCCCTGCAGCTGGTGGCTGCAGGGTGGAGCATTGCCAGCCTCCTCCTCCAATCCTGAGTCTTCTGGAAGAGGGCACGTGTCTCATTAGCAGCCAGGTACACATGAAATAAGACTTCATGATACCTGTGTTTTTCACTTCTGTCAAACTCTTATCTAGCATAAGCTTAAGTTTTGCCATGGAGATGCATTTATATGGGTAAGCTACCCTAGCAGCTCCCCTGCATTCAGCAGGAATTTGTTTTCTATGTTCATTTTCTCCTCAGTACTGGCTTTGCAAGTAAAGCCCAAAATGCAGTCAGAACAAGACAGGCCTGAACCAAAACACACCTTTTTTCCCCACAGGCACAAGTTCACCAGTATCTGTTGCCTCTGCTAATACTGGTCACAGCGCAGACCAGCAGAGGCAGGACTGCTGCCCTGGCATGCCACTGGATCTCTGCAGTGTGGCATACCTTGTGACCTGAGCTTTAAAAGTAATTGCTACTAAATGAGTGCTAGTCCTTATCATCTGAAAAACTTGTCATCCAACCCTGCCCCTTGGGGAATTCTCTTACCCTCTGCTTTGCCAGTACTGCCAGAAGAATGCCTCTCTTCCTTTCCCAGAAAGAAAAGTCCAGTTCCATGTTACCAGTATCACCATCTTAAAAAGTGCAGGGATGCTAGAGACAGGAAATAGGGCTGAGAACCTGTCCTACTAGCATCAGTAGGAAAATTCCAGCAAAGGCAGTTTTTTACTTGGTTTTCTCCACAGCTGCCAAAGATTCAGCGATGAACAAAGTCTGAATTTTGTGCAGGTCCTCTCCATTTTGAGCCCATCCTACCCCAGTGTTGGCCCTAGCAGTACAAAGCTCCTGGAGGACTTCACAAACAATAGAGCAAAAATAAGTAAAAAACATATCCAATACTTCTCTGCAGTACACTTACAGCTGCTGTTAAATACTCTTATATAAACCAAGCATTTGAATGAACAATCCCTCCATAAACCACACTGTCAAAACTAAGACACAGAAAGGTGCAGAAGTCTGCACAGAATGCATTTGTAACTTATTATGTTCTATCCACTCCTGTAACCTTTCTGAGCTGCATTGTGTAACTAAACAAATAAAAAATTGACAGTAAATATGACTAAATGGGCAGAGATTAAATGTAAGAACAACGTAAATAAATCAAACACATAAGGTGTGATGGGTATATGAGCTAAGGAAAAAATCGACTTAGCAAACTGGGGGCCCCAGCCATAATGACACCATCTTCAGTGGGAGGATACTGCAGCAGCAGATGCACTGGGAAATTCAGGTCAAAATCTGATTTCATTTAGTATCAGGATAAAGCAAATTCTCTCTGCTGAAATTCAAAAGATTATCCCGGATTTACACTGAAGAAACAAAGCAGAACTTGGCTAAAGAGATGGAATAAACAAAGAAGTCATCTCATGACATTGTCTCATAGAGAAACATACACAGACATTCAAATGGCAGCTATAGATTTTCCTCCTTTTGATTCTAAATGGCAACTGCACTTGACCTGCTATTTGTACTTTTAAGAGTTTATCATCTCTGGTTTAAAATCTTGACTGATTACTACAAAAAATATGTTCCATTAAGCTAAAAGCTGAGTTAAAACATTTCAGAGAGAAATGAAATACAGAGTATGAAGTAAGACAACAAATTAAAGAAGGGTAAATGCTGAAAATGTGGTGTTAAATAAAAAACACGTAGCTGTACCCTTACTAGCAGGCAGCTCCCACGGATGGCTGCAGGGAGCCAGAAGGCAACAGGGAGCATACTGCAGAAAGTCTCTCTTCTCATCTCAAGGTCTCAGAGACATCCCACCAACAGAGTAGGACTTCTAGGTATTTACTCACTAGCAAATATCATGTCACAATGGCGATGATGCATCAGCCTTATCCTGCAAAACATACCTGCAGGCACAGGACTGCATTTCCCAGGAAACCTACCTTTGATGATGAAGCTGAACAGAGAGGGTCATACCACATTCTTGAATGGGTCCCAGCAGAACAGGCAACTCAGGATCGCCTCACCACATTGAAATCACTGAGTTGGATGTGATTGAATCCAGCCATGGACAGCAGGATACTTAGCATATAAATTATTAACATCTTTCTGCCCATAATGAAAAAATTCAATGTCACAGAGTAAAAGGGGTTTTCCCTGGTCACAAACAATAGGTCTTAATATTTTACCACCACGTGACCATTACACCACCTAAGCTGACCTTCTACAATGTACAGAGCACAGTATTGAGCGAAATGACTTGAGCTTAGTAGAAGACTGCCTCCAGAAAGTGACTGTGCCAGTCTTGTTTTGAAAGTCTGTACTATCCACTTGATTTAATGTGCAATCATTTTCACTGCTAATAAAAATGCATGCCTTTTTCTTCATCTCTTAATCATTAACTTGTCTGGCTTGCATCTCCCTCCCTTGGGCTCCAGGAGACTTTCTCTGATAGTTTAGCAGCCTTTAAGATCTGGTATTAAATATACATAATCAACACTCTTCTTGGAGAGGCAAAGAGACAGAAGTCCATCCCTCCTCCCAGGAAAACATCCTCTCCAGTTGTTTTTATGACTTTTCTCTGGAATATTTTCAACAACCCTTTAAAATAATTAGTTTCCAGTTGTTTTTCCTAACTGGAAGGCACATTCTTTAATCACTCTCCACAAGGTTGTGATAAAAACATAAAATCAGCTCCCTGTATCTCTGCACATCCATAGATTACGCCAGTCCTTTTAAGGCTGCGTTTCCTAAAGAGCACAAAAATTACACAGCTATGTGGTAAGCATGACAGTGTCTCATCTATAACACCTCACCCAATTGCAACATCATAAGTGCTGCAAGTTTCAAATGTGTTCCCATATGCCTCATGAGAACAGCAGAGAAGATTTACAGAGAGGCTGAAACGCAGTCACACTGCTTGATGGACACTAAGAGCCACAGCAGACAGGCACTATTATCACCGCTCAGTGAACTACCAACACTAAAAAATCCTGTTGTGTTGCATGCCCACTTAAATCATCTGCTGAGTCTGCTTTTGAGAATACTGTCCAAAATTTTGCTGGCAGTACACATGTGGAACAGTGCTGATGAAATCTGTTGTGCAAGAACTCTGAGAAGAGAATGAAGACCTTCAAGATGCCAAGCAAACAGGCTGGGTAATATTATAAACGTATGCACAGCTGCATAAGAAAAAAGCAGTCATAGGAAAGACTCAGCTTGTGATGTGACATGAGGTGCCACAGAAACACATTTTGCAAGTTTCTTAATTTCTTTTCCCACTATTTCAATTGCAATTGTGAAGACTCAATTATTTCCAAGTTTGTGCTAGAAAAAACAGGTGTAAATGGCCAAGTGGTTGTTTAGATAGAATTCCAAATTTGTACTGCATACCTCATTCACATAAAAGGGAAGTGTAATTTCTGATGGAATCCCATAGCAGAAGGATAAAAAACCACTGTGAAGAGCAGAGAACAAGTCTAGACTGATGGCAATCTGGTTATGCAATAACAGCACCACTACAAGCTATTGCCAGTTTATACAAGCTATTGCCAGAATAGAAATTTTGGCACCTTGAAATACCTACTGTCTAACATGGCAATAAAAGCGATTAACAATGCCTTCCCCCCCCCCCCCCGTAACCTTTTATAACCTTTTAACCTGTCAGCCTTGCCTGGGCCCAGAAAACGGCCCGCTTAGTTGCATATTTCTGATTATTTGAAGTATTTATCACATACAACATTCATTACGTATTATTCTCTATACATTTTTGTGTATTACTATTGTTATTTAATTTTTACAATACAGCAGCAACAAATGCTCATGCAAGACTGGTTACCAGCTGTTGTAAGTACAAACAAATAAACAAATGTTTACACTTTCTCCCCCAGTACTCTACTCTAAATGAAAGGTACTGGTACAGGCTATAGAAAACTGAGTATGGAGGATCCAGAATGAGCCCAGAAAGGCACTTGGGCCTTGCCACATTACCTGTGCAAATACAGCTTCAGAAACATTTTGAATTTTGTTTTGTTTCTTAAAAAAACCCAATTTAATTCAGCTGTCGTACAACAGTTATCCTTGAGTGGTCATCAGTGATTTGTCAGGTTTTTCACAGGCATCAGACTCTAAGTGGACCTTAAGGAGATATTTAATGGCCAAATTGAATAGGAAGTGATCTTCCAGGAAGAACTGAAGGCATTTATGCAAGGCAAACCAGTGACTATTACAGGAATGGCATAATTCCCAGGCACTCACTTCCTAGTTGTCTGGAGATACATCTGATGAAAAATCAAATAAATCTGTGATTGCTGCAGTTTAACCTTACAATTGCTTCTTTTACAACTTAAATCATCACAGGATCTATACTTTAAACCCCAGAATTTCTACCTTTCTGGGTTAGAATTAGGCTTCTTTTTTGTAACACACTGCTGCAGTTCCTTGAAAGATGACCATCCCTCTCCCACCTGCCCAAAGCAGCGGGGACACCATAGCTCTTACCCACTGTAAGCTCATTTTGCTATAGCTGGCATGGCTCTTCTCACTTGGCTGAAACTCAAGTGTTTGGTGTCTTTTGGGGTTAACAATTGATTTTTGGTGAGGCCTTTGATTTTTCTCTTTTTTTACTGTAATTGATTTGGTTTAGTTGGCCAACATTCTCTCAGCTTGGCTACGGATAGACATAAGGCTATACTTGGTCAGACTCTTACACACAAAGAAACAGTACTTAAGAATAAATTACAACAACAATGCTGTCATTGTTTTAAATGCATAAGCCTTATGACCTAAATTCACCCTTCAGGAAAAAAAATAATAATTATGTCAACAGTTTACCCATAGATAAATTTGCCCTTGCATGTAGCAATAATATTAATATAATAAATGAAGGGTCCTAGGGACTGGAGAGACACCACTTGCATACCAAAACTAAGGTACACAAGGTTTTCAAGCCTTAGCAACCTAAAAATGATCGTTTACATGCTAAAACAGTTCAGATATATCAGAATAGCTAGATTTGGCCCTCTATTTTCAGAATAAGTAGCAGATACTAATCAATCTGCATTTCTCTTTCTATGCTGCTTCCAGCCTACTGAAAGCTTTACAGCAGGCAAAGGTAAAAGCAGGTACAGGTAAATCTGCTTTAAGCAGAAAACTGTATTTGAATTTTGGCAAAACACTGCCTTTGCAGATATGTATGCACTTAATTTGCAAACGCCAGTCTTAATTCACTTCTTCCAAACGATTAATGATTGTACAACTTACAGGCTATTGTGTGTGAGTTGCTGTATGAAACTCCAATGATATTATTTTATGGTGGCAAATCTGGTCCATCTTCCATGTCTAACTGGAGACTATGATCTCACCACCAACACCCTTCTCTTAATTCAGATGATGAACTGCATGATACTAACCTTTAGAGATCTTTGCTATAGAAACAGAAGCACTTGGCAAAGGATGGGGGAGTACCATGTAGCATGTCTCATATAATACACACTTGCAGAGGGGGAAGGGCTAATAAACATACTGTCTTCAGAATATTAACTCTTTTCTATCTCTGTTTTCAGAAATACACACAGCCTGAAAAGCATCCCAGGACATCAGTCTGAGAAGCAGGACCTGAAAGAAACTTACATTCAGAGACTGAGCCATATTCAAGCCTGGTAGAAGTGGGTATAAAGGTGAAATTCAAAGAAGATTGCTCTGGTTTTGATGTACTTTTCTCTGCTTTGCTTTTTCTCTTCTCATTTTAAAAGGAAAAGGAAATAATTATATACCTTGACACAAGGAAGGGTTTACTGGTGGCCTTTTAAAAGGAAATATGAAAAGTAAATGGAGCTTTCAAGCCTGTGAAGGAATAAACCATACGCTTGGCTCACAGTCCCAAATTCTATCCCCTAAATAAAACTTACGCACATATCAAATTTTTACCTTTTGCTGAACTATTTTACTGAAAGATAGCATAGCATCTGATCAGCCATGTTAGATGGCTAGGTCTGCCCTGCTGCAGCTAATTATGCATGGAAAGAAAAGGGAACATTAGAGAAAACATCACAGGAGCATGACAGAACTCAGTCTTTTATAAATCACTTCTGAGCATATTATTTACCCTTTTCCTAATCTTTTTTTTTCCCTTTACAGTTCTATCACGCTGCAGTACACTGTGCGGCTTTCTGTGAGGAAAGTTGAATCTTATGCATTTTTTATTTTATAGTTTGTTTTCTTTGGGCTAACTGAGGTAAACTCCTAAGCAGAAGGTTAAGTCTCTTCCCGCTTCCTTAACTGCATACAGTGAAGGCTTTGTTTCTACATGGTTATTTGCTCTTATGATTCTCTGTGTACCACCTCCTTTCCTGGGTTTTGCCATAAGTGGCCTTTAAACACAGAGAAAAGTTTTGGGTTTGGCTATATCTGAGGAGGATTCAAAAATGACACATAAAAGCATTGGACATTTCAAAAAAACAAAATATGAAACTTTCCTCACCCTTTGATTGGGTCCCCGCATTATTCCCTGAAAAACAAAATCAACAGGCAGAAGGGAAAACAAGTCTAAAGTCTTCCTATGCACTGACAAGGAAAGAACCTCAGTTTGCCCTCTGTCCTCTGAGAACAAAGAAGGAGTTAGCACTAACAATTATATTGTCCCACAGTCCCATGTGACAGGAGAGATGACCAAAACATTATAAAAGGTTAACAAACCTGAAAAAGCGGCTACTCCCTTTTACAGACTTGCTCTCCTTCAGCATTTCTGCCTTCTTCCATGGTGAGGCACTTTTTCTGCTTTTGTTCCACTCACAGGCTGGCAAACCTGTCTGCTAGGGCATGCCTTATGTCCCTATTGGGCATTTCCCCCTTGGCCTCTGCTACTGTTTCAGAATTCCAATGTTATGATGTAATTGGCAGCATATGAGTGCAAGGCACACCCAGAAAATTCATCTTTACCACTGGGCTATGACAGATATCTCTACAGCAGCCACAGTGCAGTCACACTGCAGTCAAAAGATTATTACACTGTACTAGCTTCAAACAGAAGACCTGCAAGTTCTTTCTTACAGGTCAACCAAATGAAGTCATGAAGGGTTTGCAAAACTGAATGTGTTGAGGTTTTTTTAAGAGTAGATCCTCAAAAATTGTAAAGCAAATATGGCTTTTCTTTTGTCTTGGTGCAAATGCACTGGGAAAAAAAATCTTTATCTGTTTCCCCATGAACATTACACATGCATAACTTTTCAAGCCTGAAAAAAATCTGCTTACTGCAGACCACACATTCCTTCCTCTAGTGACCTGGTTCTTCTGTCCTCCAAACTACTAATATCATAAAGTGTATGTTTATACAACACATATTATTCTATTTGTAAAGGTCATGAGGTTTCTACAGTCTGAGTGACTTCTCATCATTTTTCAAGGTCTGACAATGTCCTCAAATCCTAGGGAAGGATGCAAATGAGACTGTGCCATGCTCCTTGCATTGAGCTTTGCTTATGCAAACAGTGGTGCTCCTACTTAGAACTGCTCCCTAAATTACACTAAACTATAGCCCAGCCAGATTTGAGAACACTTTAAATGCTTTTTTAATGGCAGCAAGGTAGGTGCCTATTCTAATTGCCCTGATAGAAAATCCAGCCTGCCCCATGATATATAGAGAAAAGAAAAGCTGTGACTTGTCAGTGGGAACAGGTAATTTTTCTCTTGCAAAAGAAAGTCATATATTTTCTCTTCCCTCTTGCATTTGCATGTTATTTTCATGTAACACGAAAACTAACACATCTAACTAACAGATTTAGCAAAGAATATGAGAAATCTCCTTCCACTCACTTGAGCTCTGGATTGTGTTATCTGTCAGCTGAAATTATGTTTCTCTACATTTCAAACAAATGAAGAGGAATAGGCTTTCTTTGCTAAAACAAGTTTGCTGAAGGAGCAAAAGTCTCCACTATGTACAGCCCCTTGCAATTGGTCTGCACGACATGCAGCCCAGGGCCACTTGCCCTTTAGCAGACCAGAGGCAATGCCATACCCTGTCTGCCTCCATGGCTATGGACAGTGAGGCATCAGTCACTCAGGCTGCACGTAGCCGGTCTGTCAAATGGAGGTATGTTTAAAGTAGCATCAGAGAGTGCCTTGGTTCCACCGTGGACAACAAACCCATACATCTGTTTCGCAGAAAAGTTTCATTCAGATATAGGTTTAAATAAAGGCTTTGTAAATTATCAGTTAATCCCCTCCCATATATCAATAAAGCTTTATTTCAGAGAAAAAGAATGAACATAGATACATTAATCAAAAGTTACCTATACAGTATGTTGGCATCTAATGAAAAAGAAAGACCTGTACTCATTTAGGATAACAACAGCCTCCCACAGGGTCCAGTGTGATAATGGATTGTCAACCCCGGTACCAAGAGTGACAAAACAACAACAAATGGTATTTTTTAAAGCTGTGGCCCATGACGAAGTTTAGGACAAGTTCAGTCTCTGCCAATATGCTTTCACTATCTAAAAGCATCTTGATTTTGACTTGATAATTACAGTGTGTTGAGCCAGGCAGCTGTCACTAAGGAACAGGAGCTGCCCAAATGAAGCAAAATGTATAGAAGTTTACTGATTTATCACACAGTAATGAACCCAGCTACAGCCTTTTGAGGCATGGAACTGAAAAGCAGAAAGAGAGGGGGGAAAAAAGAAAGAAAAAAAAAAAAAAGAGGAAAAAGAGGAAGAAAGAGCTTTGAACATTTCGTTCCAGTCAGTTTCCAAGAATGAAGAAAACACCAGGCACGATTCAATCAAAGGATGCCCTCCCACAGTCCCGCTGTTGCTGCGGAAGTGGCCACTGGGCAGATACCCGAGACATGTATTTCTCAAAGCACACAGACCCAGTCTTTGCTGAGGCATGAACTCTTGCTGATGGCAGCACACATACATAGAAGGGCAAACAAGAAGAACAGCAGAAATGGCTGAATGAACTTTATTCAGAATCTGACATACGATGTCAGTATAATGAATGTGACCTAAAGAAGAGTGTTACACTCATAAGCAGACTGAGTTGGCAGCTTTGACCAATTAGAATCAGTTAATTTTATGTTGATAGCTAGTACACATATATGATATTCTGTAAAAGCTTAACAGCTGTCACATAAATCACAGTTCTCTTTCTCCCCTGTGCTCCTCGTATTTGGGAAGTACTTTCAGTTGAATCTTCTTTAATACTTGCTGTAGACTGAAATTAATGCAAATGTAATTCTGACAGTCTCTGCAAGACACCAAAAATGCATGAAGCAGAAAAGTTTTTTCTCACCTAGCATCTCTATGACTACTGCTCTTAAAAAACAAAACTTTGTTCCAACTACTGTACACCATGATATTTACAGCAACTGTAGTCTGCACAGAACTAAAATACGCAAAATGAAGGGTTTTTTTCCCCTTCCTTCTGAAGTTCAAGTTTTCTCCCAGAGCAATAAATACCACTTACCTACATAGTCATGTACTTGGGAAACATTTTGAGCAGCAGTAACCAACACAAACAGCTGCTACATTTGTTGAACTGAATGGCAGATGACCTGTTGTGCTTATCAGTTACTTACTGATATTAATATTAATTAATATTAAATATTAAAAGGAAGTATTAAAAAGTGCTATAATTTTTATTGTTACCAATGGAATAGCTGGATTTTTCTCTGAAGTTGCTGGAACTGAGCGCCACAGCTAAGGAAATGGGTGTTGTCCTTCGATATGCACCCAGTCTGCACTTAGCTAAAACACTGAGATATACAAAGCATTATTATTAACCCTACGGACAAGGCGTTACCATGGTACATTAACAGACCACTTTACAAGCAGTGTTTAACTGCTGCCCCCTGCAAGACCACCACCAGCAAGAGGGCAAGTACAGACCTGCTTTTAGGAGAGACCTGTCTGAAGTCTGTTGCGAAGCTAGAGGGATACTTTGTCTTTTGGTAGTCCAAAGTCCACATAATGGCCCTCAAGCAGTTTCCAGGACTCTATATTTCTAGCCTGTCTTTCTGGTCACAATTTTAAATAGAAGAGGAAGGGTCAGAGACTAACATAATTATTTATAAAGAATGTCAGTATTTGTTGGGTAGTTTTTCCAGTGTTTTCCCATGTACAACTGTCAACTAACTTAGAGGTCAGTGGGTTGTTTTCACCATTGCTTGTCACATTTATTCTTCCCTTGTAACATTTTCTTCAGTACGAGAACTGTAATTCAGCTACATATTCCAAGAATATAACAGACTCTAACTGCAAAAATAACCAGTACTGATTTGCATTTTTCCTTACAGAGGCAACGTTCTTTGCTTCTGAAACCTCAACACGCACACAGAGATTAGAAGGTATTTGTCATCAGCGCTTTGGCAAACAACCCTTACGAGCTTCTGGCGAGTGAATCCCTTTATGACTGTTTCCCTCACCTAGAAAATAAGGCTAGAAATGCTTATCTAGATGCTTCATAATAGTCGTGGGGATTCTTTAAAAATATTAATTACTTTCATTTAAACAGTGTCACAAAGCTATAAAGTGTAAGTGATGTATTCAACAAGGTTTTTATTTGGTATATTTTGAAAACAATGGCACAAACTCCTTGCTGCCATCACTTTCTTAATTTCAAAAGCTCAAGTGGAAACTCCTCAGATATGGATTTGGCTACAATAAATAGTTCCTTGTAATTTTACAGATTCTGGCCTCCTTAAAGTGTATCATAACACACTCAAAAACAGAATATAGTGTAATCTTGTATGTCATGAAAGTAATCCTCACTCACAGAATGTGAGCTGGGGAAGTGAGTGGAGTTCTAGATTAACAGTCACAAAGAGAAGCTGCTAAAAAAGCAATTAAGAAACCCACGGCATCCCCTAATTGGAGACACAGACATACACTGAAAAAAGACTTGCCAAGAACAAAAGAAAACATGAGTCTGCCGTTACTAAGTGCCCTCATCCCTTGGTTATTCCAGTCTGTATGTTGCCAGTTTACAGTATTTTATGTACTGCCCTACATAAAAATAAACAGGCACTCAGGGATTACCATACCACAACCAACACTTCAAAACTACTTGCAGTAGCTCCCTTACTACACCTTCATGAATGTAAACAAATAAAGATTTTTGAATGGGAGCTATTGGAATCATTTGCCTTCATATTGTGCCAAGTAGGCATTCCAAATGCCTGCTTGTTGTGGAAACTGGAGAAAATGGTAAATTGCATCCTAATAAGGGCTATTCTAGCTAAGCATCCAAAGAATGTCATCAGGAAAGATCTCTTCTTGATACTATTTTAAAAGTTTTTTTGCTCATAATTAACCAAGTTGAAAGCTAGGACAGCAGCTAGGAGCAAGTGGTTTGAAAACCTACATTATCCCTGCCAATGTACAAAAAGTACTGTGCTTTCACATGTAGGCCTTGCTGGAAGCCCTAGTTAAGGACAGTCGCAGTTAGCTGTGACAACTCCTGCTCCAGTACAGTGCTTTTAGTTCAAGTCCAGCTCTGCAGGATTCCGATATAACTTTCCCAAAGCAGTGACAGACTTGCCACTGACACTGAGGAGAACCTGAAATAACAAATCTCACAGAAAAAAGGGACACCTTGCCTCAGAAATATCTCAGATATTGGACAGATTGAGTTTGAACAAAAAGACAGTACATACACAGAAAATACGCTTGCTACATGCTGCAACTCTCCACCTAGTAACTCAAATCTGCAGATATATATATGGAGAGAGAATGATGATCCACACTCTGGAGTTTACTGAGAAGAAATACAGGGAAGAAATAAAATATGGGCAGGGTACTGTATGAACTAAAAAAAAAAAAAAAAAAAAGTGAAAAGGAAGATGACTAAACTGCTCCAGTTGAAAAGAAAAGGAATCTCCAGACCTCAGTTGATTAGTACTGCTAATTAGATTTCCACGTTTTCTCACTTAAGCATTTTAGGTCCTTTGAATTTAGATTTCTTCATTCTGAATAGCCGTTTACAGCTGATCAGGACCAAGACAAACATCTGCCCTGCAAAGACTTCCCTTAAAGATTTTGTGCAACATTTTAAATAAATACTTTGCCTAATACAGCAAGACTTTGTCCATATCCAAGCCAGTGATCCAAGCCACTGGTCTCCACATAGTGATTTTCCTTCTGTTACAGTAGACAATCATATATGGGATATATTTAGAAAAAAAAGACAGAAACTTTTGCTAGCTTCTATATCACTACTTCTTAGTGACTCAACTTTATTTTAATGCCACATATTGCACAGCTGCCAGCCTGTTGGAAATATTTCTGCATCCTATTTAGTTAGTTATCCTACAATTTCAGAAGCTTGTGATCTCTTATGGAAGTTTGCAGATGTAGTCCCCTCACCCTCCCCAGCTATAGCACGACAACGCATGCCAGCACATAGGCTCTGGCAGACTTTGGAGATGGATGTGGAGAGGTTACACAATTTTGCAATAAATTCATTATGATCAAGCAGCACCAGTTAAAGCAATCACTCTCCTGGCCAAAGAAATAAGTGAGGAAATGAAAAACAAAAAACCCAAGTCTTCGCTTTTCTGATGTCCTGTTGCATCAAAGCACAGGTTGCAACAAGCTGAGAAAGTGTTATGTGCTTCAACGTCTTTTTCAGTTGCTAGGGTACAGTTTCTTATGGAAAATTCCTTGTTCTGCGTGATGTTTTTCCTGCCTCATTTGGGATGGCAGAACCGTTCCTTGTGTCACCTGAGAAACCGGGCTGTCAGTTTCCACCTATTGGTGAGAAAGAAACTCATCAGCAGCAGAACTCAATGGAAAATTCCTCGGTTCGAAGTTTCTGCGCTGGAGGCCAATATGACACAGGGGAGCAAGGATGGATGAATGGGCCAGGGGATGAGGGTGCCACACAGGAGATCTGGCTTCCACCTCAGGGTCAGCCACAGATTTCCTGTGTGATCTGGGACAACGGATTTAATTCCTGGGATTCCCTGATTATACAGGCAGGACAACCAAGTATCCTTTCCCCGTTCTTCACCCCATGTGTGAAGCCCCAGGTCTGTAACCTGCCCACAGGATAACCAAGTAGCTCCAGGTTACAGGAGTTGGGCCATAGTCCAAAAGCTCTTCAGGCAGGGGTTATTTGTAGATGCACAGTTCCCCTAGTGCTTTGCACAGAGGTCTTGTTTGGACCTCAGGGCTCTAAAGTAATGGACAAAAGTAATAATAAACAATTTCATTGATCCCTGTTATTAAGGAAAAGTATCAACATAGGCAAGGAGGAAAAATTCCAACTTTACTGTACAGCCAAGCAGGAAAAAAGTTTAGCTTTTGGAGGAGATCTGCAATCTATTTTCTGCATAGATAATACTGAAAATTGCCAAAAGCATGATATAAGAATGGTACTATAGCATCACACTAGTGACACAGGGCAATCAGGGATAAGGGGAATTTCTTTAATGGATTAGTTGGAAGTAATCTGATTTTAATGTGACATTTTTTCCTGCTGCAATGTTTGCCCTTCCAATAAAAAAATAATTAGATTCTACCACTTTTGATTCATGACAAAAACAAAGCATGGTTAAAAACTAAAAAAAAAGGTGTTAATATTTTAATGCAGTTGGATACCTACAGTACTTCAGAATGCTGAAATTCCCATGGGCTCCCTATGGTGGTGAGAAGAGCTTTTGACCTCTCTGAGAAAATGGGTTTTGAAAATAATAAATGTATAAGTGCTTGAAAAGGGACTTCTTTAGTAATGTCTGTCATGAGAATGAAGAGCATTCAAAATGTGACAATGCAATTGAATTCCACAGGACAAATTTTCTGGTGGTGCCAAAATTTAAAGCTCCATTGACTTCAGTGGAGTTTCACCCTTTAATCCAAGAAGGTTTGGACTTGTTGGTTATCACTTGCAGTAACATACAATCCCTTTTGTCTTTTAGAGTCCCTTCCCTTATCAGATAAGTTCAAGAAGAAAATTAATGGAAACAGGTAAAGGAACAAAAGAATATAAACTAATATTAATTGAACACCAGTCAGGACATTCAAAATTTTGATTCCCACAGCACTACTTTCAGCATAAAGCCAGTCAAAAATTTCACTGAGAAATATTAATGACATAAAATAAAGTTTCAAAGATTTGGAAGCAGAAAAATGTTTTTTAGTTAAGTTTTTGGCTTCCTAAGACAAAGAACAAAATTTAACATTCCAAAGTGAAAAAAATCCTTCCCCTCCCCCCAAAAAAAGCCACACAAAAAAACTCTTGCCCATAATTTTGAAATATTTTCCCAGGTGGATATTTTAAAAGAAATAATTTTAAAAATATGAAATTATTTAAATTTTACTGAATATGCACATTTTTTCCATTTCAACATTTCAAGTTGAAACTTGAGATAAAATTTAACCAAGTGCCCTCTCCTTTCACTTACATTTTAAAACCAAAAATAATGGGAGGAAAACTCCATTTTTCAACAGCTTTACTTCTGTGAATTCACATACTACCCTGAACCTCTGGAGGGGGAGGAGTTGTACTGAAGTTGGAATAATTCATTAAGGGCTGCATTATCCTGACTGTACAAAGTGGTAAAGGCAGTAGATGAGATTGCCAGTCTCATACAGAAGCCTGTGCAGGATGCCTGCACACCAGCACACTGCTTCACTGATTATTTTCTTCATTCTTAACCAGAAGCTACCAAATTTGACTCCCAGTAAATTTATCCAGTAAAAATCATGTGCAAGTCAAAGGGATGCTGAGAATGGAAGCTAAAAGTCAGCTTTAAGCACAGCAGGGTTTTAAGCAACATCTAATGAAGTTATAGAAGTTTGAACCAAAATCTAAGATTTGAGTACAACTTGCTTTTGACAAACTTTACTTCCTTCTCTGAATTCTGTGAGTTTAAAAGCAATTGCTCTGAAAATCTCTCCCAGACTGAGTAAATGACAAATATCAAAGAAGGATTCTGCAATTTAATTGCTGTGCTACTGCAAATACTTGTCTATGTACAAATCCTTTGGAACAACGGAAGTTTTGCATACAGGAGTATTTGTGTGTTAGAACAATCTGGATTATGATGGGCCATCTCATCTTCAGTAAGGTTGATGCTGTTGTATTAATATTCCTGATACAAAGAAAATCTGAAGAATAGCTCCTCTGTTTTTCAGCAACTAAAGCAAATCATGATATCTTTTAAATACCCAATCCCTTTGATAATCACAAGCACCCTAATAATCTTTGTCCTTTTATCTCCAGGAGCACAAGTAACAGCTGGTGTCTGGAGGTGGGGGTCATGAACAGATACAGAAATAAACAGTGACCCAGAAGAGGTTTTTGTTCTTCATCTGTCTTGTACTCTAATGATCCTTTCACACTCTCCAAAGATCTGAGGCATTTTTTAATTATGACCGTAATGAAATGCTATCATGGATTTAAGATCTCCCTCTTGAACATCTATAGAAGCAATAATCATCAGTTTAAAAGCTATAAACCCAAACCAACAAATGGTTAAAGCCACAGATAAAAGGCCCTGTCATGTCAACCTCTATTTCTGTTCACTGGGTTTGGACAGGAGTGTGGGTAAAATTCCCTTCCCAACAAGACATCCTGGCTGTCAGTATGAAATGTAGGAAAAAGAGAAAACTTGTCAAACATTTCAGACTAGTGAAAGGCAATTAGAAAAACCCTAAATCAAACACTGCTGCTTTTAACAAGTCAGGTAATGTATTAAATGCAAAGCCTATGTGCCTAAACCCTTTTGCTCTCTGAATCCTACTCCTGAAGTCAGCAAGGACAAAACCTATGCAATGACCTCAATAACTTGAACTCGAGCAGTACAGCTGCAAAATATGGCTTCATCAGAGTAAACTGCCAACAGGTCTACACTTTTTCTTATCTTTTATTTTCTTCTTCCGCCTCCACCCTCTCCTTCCTTCTTATTGTTTGTGAGAGGGAGATTTACACACATCACAGTCTCACAGGGTGCCACTTCTTACTGCAGGTCTCTCTGTTTATTGCTCAGGTACATGCAAGATGCAAGGTTTTGTATCCAATTGTCTGAGCAGGATTTAGCAGTTTTATCTTTATAATATTCATTCAGTTTTGTTCCATCTAATGATTGTGTCTCAGAGTTTATATTCTTGATGCCAGTGTCACCCTTCACATGCTTGCTGGCCTAAACAGCACCTAAAGATAAGAATTTTTTCTCCATGTTTACAACATATGAGGTAGCAAAGCCTGAGGACATACATCAAATTCTGCCCATACAGAAGAGCTGCCTGTTAAAGGTAATAAGCAAAATGTTGAAGAGTTTGTATTGCCTTTTTTCTATAATCTTGCTATAAGAGAGTATCACATCAAGATATATTTCATTACTTTTTACATTCATGTACAGGGTGCATTTCTTAAGTCTTTACATTATTTTTCCCTGATGTTTTCTCCACCACTTTTCACTGGGTTACAGACGAAGGGAGAAGAAACTTTTTTCTCCTATGAATCAAACTATCACCTTCTGGAGATCAGACTAAGTACTAACTGATCAAAAGTGTAATTTTATTTACTGTCATCCTACAGCTTGCACAACTTAACCACATTCACCAAGAGCCTCAATAACTCAAGTGCATCAGAATGCAGAAATGCTTAGCTTGCACAGCATTAAATGGCTCATTAGTTTACTTAAAAGCAATAACCCAAAAGCTAATTCCTAATACAAAGAAAACGGTACTTGCTGGGTTTGGCTCAAATACGTTCAAATAGGCTTTGATCTATGGCCTTCTTAGCCTGACTACCCAGAGAGTTAACATGCCATGCAGAACTCCCCAAGTCCAGCTCAGCACTGACATAGCCTCTCAGAAAGCAGCATAGGGAATAAGGGTCAGCTTGTGACCGTGGAGAGTCTATATCCTAGCTTGTAAACTAATATTTCCTTTTCTTATTATTAGAGTGTGAGGATCTAAGAAAGATTTAAACTCAAGACAGCATTTCCATTTAAATAATTGCCCTTCTTTCTTAAAAATGAAAACTCATCTCTTGAGATGCTTTAGTTAATGAAGAGTGTGGATTTTAACATTTACACTTGTATATAGTAGACCACAGAGAAATGCCACAGAAAGCATAACAAAATGTTTCTTAAAGGCTTTTACAGACATTTAGATGGAACAACTGGTCTGGATGAGGCCAAGAGCTCACTGTAGGTGGGCACAGCCTTTTGTATATGATGAAGAATAAATATTCCACACTCAATCAGAGACGTCATCCCAAGACTAGACATAAAAATAAAAATAAAATTCAAGTAGTTCTCTGTACACTTTCTCTCCATTATTATGAAAAACACACTACGCTCTTCTGTGTTTCTCCAATAGAAAGTGCACTCCATGTTTCTGTGTACATATTCAGTCAATAAACAGATGCTGCAAAGTTGAGATGGCAAAGCCGTCTACTGCAGGAGCAGTGAACACCTGTGTGCTTTATTCTATCTTGAAAACAACCTATCTTACAGTCAAGAAAATCTACCAGTTCAAAATAAATCTCTTACCAGTTTGTTTAATGTTGCCATTTACCACAGTCCTGTTTGAGATGTTGAGGCCAAACTCAAAAGATACAGAGATCAAGAGACAGGAAAGACTCGCAGGTTAAAATTAGAAATCAGTTTTGAACTGGGCCTCTAGAGGAAAGCTATCACCGCAAAAAAGGTTGAAACTACTCTTGTCTTCCTTATTTAGTCAAAAGTTGGACAAGATGATCGTGGAGGTCTTTTCCAACCTTAATGAGCCTGTGTTTCTATAATTTCTAAAAGATATTTTATTTTGGCTCTGTGTTTATTCCTCAGTGTGGTGAAATTTCAGGGTTCTCTAAAATGCTGCCATTAAAAGAGGCAAAAAATTGTAAACCTTAAGTGCAGTACAACATTGTGGTAAATGTGGGAAACCACTTCCAGCAAGGAAACGTGCTGCATCAGAATGCATAATGCAAAAGACTTCGATGAGTTGGGAAATAGTCATCTTTCTCTTCTGAGAAAGTTGAGTTAAGCACAGAGATTTTGAGCTTCACATCTGATGCCTGCTGGGGATGGTTGTGGCAGCTGGAGGAGTCCAGTCCATGAATCCACCCTCCGCAATGGTGGCTAGAGAACTGATATGACTTGAAGCCACAGGCAGTTTACACCTGTAGTAAGCCATGGGCTGCAGGAGTTGAAGGACAGCAAACTTGCCTCTGCCCTTCCCCTGCAACAGAGAGGTTGGAAGCAGTCCCTTCTCCAGGCGCACTATGAAAGCTGTGGGTGTACCAAAGGTTCACCTCCACTGGGTGCAGGACACTAATGCACCTCTGCTGATGCACCTCTGCACTGTTTCACATCATGACCTGCCCAGACAGATAAGCCTCAGCTCTTTGCTGCAGTGGCTGGGGATGAGCCGTGAGCCTTTGAACTTTGAACTTCTGATCCCTCTTCTCCTCTGCTCTCCCGGTCCTGGAGGTTTTGGTCAGTGGAGGATATAAATATGTTGCTGTTGATGTCAGGGAAGGTGCAATTCAGAAATTCAGGGAATATCTGCTTATTTATTAGACAGGGTTCGTATTTACAAAAGGACATCAATATGTCACTGAGCAAAAACCAACCTTTATGTGTTAGAAGACCTGGAAGAAATACACACCTTAAGGCTTATTGGATACTTATTTAAAGAAAGGTTTCTAGTAGCTATTGACACCTTAAGGTACAGAGTTACTATTGTGATCCA